ATCCAAAGTCCAAGTCCTATAAACATGAGTATAAATCATGCAAAATCAACAGAATAATATTATACAGGTGCCTGTAATTTGTTTGTTTGTGTTTATAATTATAATTGTAATATATTTTACACCAATGTATATATTTTTGAAATAACACACATTAAAATGTTATTACAAAATGTTAATATTGACCATTTATTATAGGTTTTACAAAATTAAAAACTTAAATAGGAACTTATACTCATTTACTTAATTACTTAATAATGTATTTAACAGTACATAAAAATACTGCATATTGTATAAGAGGTTTTTTTTTTTTCAAACCATCTTGAGGATGATGTCATAGTTCCGTGCAGCTGTGTCTTCTCAGGCTGAAGATATTTTTAGTTTTCTGTGATGGCATTTGAACTCCTTCCCTCTCTGTACAGTAGCAGGTGAATACAGTGGAGCAGTGTTCACTTGTAAACATTGACCCCTAGAGGTAGAAGTCTGCCTCCTCCGCAGACACCTGCTGCTTTCTCATAATGAACTTCCTTTCTTTGAGGAGAGGTCCATTGCCCTCTGCAGGCTGATCTCAGCAAACATGCACCACATCTGTTCAGACCGTGACCAGAGTCGGGATTTGTCAAATCAAAAACATTTAGCTGAATTTTCTGTTTTTTCTTTTTTTTTTCTTTATAACAACATCACAGCATTACAAGACGAAAAAACAAAAAACATACGCACTGTGTATATGTATACAAATGTACATATACTGTTTAGATATATGCTGAAATATACACAAACATATATAAATATATATACATATATGCAAATATATATTTAAATATGTATGTATTTGACCGAAACTGTTTCAAATTACATCTACATTTATTTATTTTATTTTTTTTAAATCCTCGTCAAGAGTCACGCTCTTTGATTTCATAATCATCATTAATTTGTGGCTCTTCCCAGTGAATTATGTAACGACGACACCCGGACCAGTGGAGGCGATGTCAGCCGGTGAACCTCCAGCTGTCTCATTGGCCAGCGTCCAACAGCACAGTATCAACAATATCAGAGGAAACGTCCCCGCTCCTCTGTTTGCACAAACAGAACATGACACTGAGTAGACACATGGGTGAGCAGGTAGGAAGTCACACACACACACACGTGTGTGTGTAAGGCCAAACCATACATCCATTTATTACAAATAAATGTGTAAATAAAGCCAACTAAAGAAAAGACAAAAAAAAGTGTTACAAAAGATTTCTAAAGCACTTTCAAAGAATGAGGCTTTTTGTTCTGATTATTCGTAAATTAGTAAATATGTAAAAAAAAAATACAATTACAGTTTCATTATTAAACTGAACAGCTACAGCCACTTCTTATTAACAGTCTATGGAAGACATAGTTAACTTTGAAATGACTAAACTGGATGATTAACTCCTTCAATTGTTACCAAAAAAATACAATAAATTTAGGGCGATGGGACAATAACATCATTATCAACATGTGAATTTTTTGTCGTTAACATTATTTCAACCGGGGCCACGCGGTGGAAGATGTGGTGAGCACGCATGTTTTACAGCAAAAGGTTCAATCCCCAGTGGTGACTGGTGAGTTGCTCATACAACAGGGCTAGTGGCGCAATGGATAACGCGTCTGACTACGCGCAATAAGATTCTAGGTTCGACTCCTGGCTAGCTCGGTCTCTTTTTAGTTGTGTAGCAGATCTGCAGCAGATCTGCAGCTGGGCTCAGAGACCTTTGGAAATAACAATGAGTGACTGAGAGTGAGGTCACTGCATTTATTGGGGATCACTGGTATGGAGGGCAAACTTTTTGACTCGTGGGCCACAATTGTCCTAAAATTACGCCATCTATTGGGGAAATGTGGGTATTGCAGGGAAAAGGCAGAAGTATAATGATAACGAAAAGTTTAGCGGGCCAGATTAAAAAGCTTAAGGGCTGCATCCGGCCCCCGGGCCTTAGTTTACCCATGTCTGGGTTTAGACTGTTAACGTAAAATGGTTGAAAAACGTTTCAGGCGTAGGTGTGAAGTCCCATTAATATGTTAAATATTTATATCAATTAAAAAAATGTCATCAGGAAATTATTTTGTGCCTGATTAAGTTGAATTCTCCAGTTTGAATGTAAAAAGAGAAACAGTTAGTCAAAGAAAACAACAGTGACTTAAATAAAATGTCACGTCAATTTAAAGACTTTACGTATCTTTGTTTCTGTGATGGAAATATATGAATGTGCCTAATTGGACAGAAAAGGTTTTGGGTTGGAAAGACCGAGACGTTTGGGTTCACAGACTCGTAGGTGAGTAAATGAGTGAGTCCACAAGTGTCCCTGTTGGGTGTTGAGACATTTTAAGCTCTGAATTGCAGCTGTCGCCCAGTGAAATCCAAAACCTCTTTCCCGAGACATAATTCATCCAGTACATGCAACTCAAAGCCACAATGGCTGCAGTACAACGCAAACAAAACCTGACGTCGGGCATAACTTACAAATCCCAGCGTTATGACCACGGAACATCTTAATGTAAAAATGAGGCGATGAGATAACAGAACCATGGACAGCGCCAGTCCAGGACCAAACAGTCAGCAGGGTCAGGACAGGGGAATTAATGGACGTAATGCTCATAAGGGTATTGTTGCAAGAGTATAACAGGAGAAACTGGATTTTTTTTTAATTAGGGGTTTGAATTTTTTTTACAAATGAGGAGTGAGAAACTCTGCAGCAGTTAAATATTTTTTCCCATCAAATGTTTCATTTTAATTGTATATATTTATTATGTATTTTACATTATATTATGTATATATTATTATTTTATTTTATTATTTATATTTTAATATATTTTCTTTTTTATGATTATTATTTTCTCTTTTATTATTTTACAGGGCTTGGGCTGTGTTATATTTGTATTTTCTGAATGTGTTTTTTGTCCTAAAGGTCATGGTGGGGAAGTTGTTTGACGTCCACCACATTTTTAAAGTCTTAGGAGGTAAAAAAAAAATTGAATTTTGTCCCTTCCCACTGTATAAAAGACCTGAGTTCTACCCCAGTCTGGTGTTTTCATGATCGACGGCTCCTCTGCACGAGAGTCTTCTGTAGTAGCAGACAGACCTGAACTGCAGGCCAGGTCTACTCTTCATCTGCTGCTGGGTTTTTGAAGGTAGAGCAGAGAGACATCTGGCATCAAGCTGCTGACATTAGCGCAGGATGATTTCAGTGGTGCATTCAAATACATGTGGATCCTTCCGGCCCTTCTAATGCTTCCACCGTCTATCACCACATGACCTGGGCTCAGCATCTCACCCAAACCTCTAAATGTTTTTTCAAATTATTATTAAATATATTATTATTTAGAATCTGACATCATTTTGTTCCTAATTCAGGCTAAAACATAAGCTAGTCTGACCACAGGATGAATCCCAGCCGGCCTCAACTGGCCCACAAGCCATACTTTGCCCTAACCCATCAGTAGGTACTCCTTTATTACACAATCTTAACAGTAGTTTAAGTATTGATTGTAACCAGTCAGTGTCCAGACTCTCACTAGTCCCTACACAGGAACGATAAAGGATATCCATCATAATGCCACCCAGCCCCCCTGCCCCTCTCCCCCGTTAGCCTGAGGGCCTCACTGGGTTCCTGGGTGTCTGGTCAGACAACCTTAATATGATCCTGGAATCCAGTTGGCCCGCTGGCTCTTCTTTTGGTTCTTGGTGTTGGTGCTAGAGGTCCAGGTTAGACCCTGCTGGTTCTCTGGTATTTCAACTATCTGTGGTGCTCAGGCATCATCATCAACCGGGGGCCCTTTGAGGGGCCGCGGGGATGCCTGATCGATCTGGACACATTCACGCAACCATTTTGCCGCACGACACAATAAAACAATGTAGTGGCACATTGAAGAGCAGCCAAATGTGAACGTGAGAAAACATTTCATGCGCGGTCAGAGAGGAGCGGGGCCGAGCCACCCCAGAGATCAAAGCCCTGTGACCGTGTCACTGCGGCCTAAAGGACAGTGGAGGACACCCAGGGAAACAATGGCGCCCTCGGCAGACAAGATAAATGTTAGTGCCGCGGCGCAGAGATATGGCACGGAGAAAATAAAAAAGCGAGGGAAGACCTGTTTAGTTAACTTTATCTGAGTGGAGCTGAAAGGCGAATGAAAAAAACAGTCAAGGATGAGGCATCAAAGACATGCTGCCATGACACCAGGCACCCACCGTAGTACCCACGACAGAGAACTGTTTCAACAATAATCTCTTTCAACGTGTTGGTCACACTCATTCCTTACAATAAACTCCTTTCACTTCACTGCCTCTAAAGAGCTGAACCATTGTTTCACAAAGAGTTACGTTGGTTTAAAAAAGACTTTAGAACTTTTAAAAACATCAATAATCTCCTACTGATGTCATCGCACCTACAGGAGGAGAACAGCACCAGGAGGAGAACAGTACCAGGAGGAGAACAGTACCAGGATCCAACTGAAGTAAACTGGATCATGTGTAGTAATCAATAGTTATTAGGAGTACATTTTCATAATAGCAAGTGTACAGCTAAATAGATAAAGGTTAACAAAGACATATTAAATATTAAATATAAAAAAATATATAGTTCATTTCATGTTGAGGTCACTTAAATCTAAAATCTAAATGATTAAGTAAAAATATACATAGTATGTGTCAGTAGAACTTTACTAAAACTATTCTGAAGGTACTGTAACTGAGTCTGAAACAGTGAGAGCGCCGACTCCCGCTGCAGTCTCTCTATTTAGTCTCTCCATTGTTTGGTATAAGGACATGATTTCCCCTGCAGCGGTCTGAAAGGAGAGGCTTTTTCATTGGACCGTACTGTTTTTCCTGTTATTGTTCATTTATAGAAGTGTCCCGTCTCCACGTCAGGTTCTGTTAACATGGGCCGTTTCCTATTTTACATCCTCCCATACATCAGTCATGATGTTCTGCTGCTGATAGAAAGAAGCTCACTGATAACAGGTTACAGTACGCTCTGTCGTCCGCGTTAGAAAATAACTCGTCCGTGGGTTCTAGGGTTAATGTAGCTAAGTTTGCAGCTAAGCTAGTTTTTTTTTTTAAATAACTTGTCGCTACTTTTGGTAAAATAGGTATCTTTTGTCTTTTTCTAACGTCTGGTTTTCTGTGTTTAAACCAGTGGCTCACAGTCCCCCCTTTTTGCAGAAAGGACGGGTGTTGACCCACCCCCAGCACCACCCCACCCCCCCATTGTAGACACATTCATAGCATTTGTTTAAAACTCCTCTGATCTTTTCAACATTGTAATTCTTACAAAACTGCTGTTCTCACTCGTCCCTCTTAAAGGCTCCACGACCTACGAAGGGTCCCCGCCCCCCACTTTGGGATTTTTTTAATATGGTTATTTATTTGATGTACTCTAATACATAATACTTCAGGGGTAATAATTACACATGTAATCCATATGTTGCCCCCTCCACTGGTCACACACAAGATTACAAGCCTGATCCTTTAATTTTATTAAATAATTACCAAAAAAACAGGCTAAAAAATAAAGCATCTAAACACATCTTTGTCAGTTCTGAGATGTTAAGGCTCTGTAACACCGATGCACACACTGAACCCCAGCAGGTGGCAGTAATGCACACTGTGCACTAAGTGACGTCAGCACTTAACAGCTTATTGTGTCAAATATGGGTTTACTGATACCTGAAGTACACAATAGAGTTGTCATCTCCTCCTGGACCAAAGGTACAGTCCAACACAACCTCATTCTGGTTCACGGGCCGCATACAACCTAATAAGATGTCAAGTGGGCCGGACAATCATAACATAATTAACTATAAATAACAATAAGTCCATGTTTTTCGCAAGAAGTACAAGTATATAAGATATTTATTATTATTATTAATTTATATTTAATAAAATATATATTTTACAAAAAATATCTTGAACATTAAGTGTTTATGTGTTTGTTTATTTTCAAACAGGCCGGATTGAACACCCTAGTGGGCCAGTTTTGAGCCGTGGGTCGTATGTTTGACACCATTGGTCTAACACAACATGTGATGTGATGTGATGAACATTGTGTGAACTCTTCTAATACCCTCACAGTGTTAGCCTGGATCTTTTCTGTTCTTTTTCCGACTGTGCTGTAAATGAACCAGACAGAGACGTCTGTATTACAGTACTTCAGTCTGTATTACAGTACTTCAGTCTGTAGTACAGTATTTCAGTCTGTATTACAGTACTTCAGTCTGTAGTACAGTACTTCAGTCTGTATTACAGTACTTCAGTCTGTAGTACAGTACTTCAGTCTGTAGTACAGTACTTCAGTGTGTAGTACTTCAGTTCACTGTACCTTATTTTGGACTTGTCTGACAAACAGCTTCACAAATCCAAACTCAACATGCTTCAAGCAACTATCAAACTACATAGGGTGCGCGGCCCACAATCGGGACCATCTACACCAGAAGCCGATAAGGACTATGAAAGGCATACATCCTGAAGTCTGTATACAGACTGTATGGACACAGGACCAAACAACGGACTGACAAGATGGAAACATTCAGTAAAGCTGACTGACATACCCGGGCGAGCAAGGGAGGGAAGGTGGGAGCGAGCAGGGGAGAGAAGGTGGGAGGGAAGGTGGGAGGGGGTGAACCTGCACCGGCTCTGACCTTGACCATGGAAAGGTACAGCAGCGTTCACACAAAATGGCGTGAACTAACGATTGGTGAATATATCGATATATTATTGATTATGATTTAAAAAACCTTGGATCCTTCGTCTCATCTCACTGAAGTCTTTGTTCATTTGATCCTCAGGTCAAAACTTCATGGAAAATATGACTCTTCTGTTATCAAGTCAAGTCATGTTTAACCAACATTAACCAACATTAACCAGGTTAAACATGTTTGATTGTGTTCAGTAAACATGATGGGCAGAGATCTGATGTGTCATTGAGAATTGACTTTTTATTTACTAAATTGGGCAACAAAAGAAAAACAGTCAATGCACACGTTGTCCAACTGGGAATGGTGGGTAAAATTCACAGCTTTAGGAATCTACGACCCCAGTGAAATTGGGAATGGTGGGTAAAATTCACAGCTTTGGGAATCTACGACCCCAGTATTAGAGCACTATTTTATTTTATTTTATTTTTTATTTTATGGTCTGTATTTTATTTTTTGATGCAACAATTGTTCAGGGTAGTCTCATTTACAAATCATGGCTAAAGAAAACTGGTCAAATGGTTCAAGATAATAGTGTGTGATGAGAAGCCTTCTTTAAATGTTTTTAAAGTTTATGATTAAAATTAGGTTCGGATTAGAGTTAGACTCGGGATTAAGATAAGCCATATATTTGTTATAGATTAGATAAGGTTAGTTAGGGTAAGAACCCAGGGAATGCATTATGACTGTGTGAAGTACTTACGAACGTGTGTGTGCGTGCACGCGCGCGCATGTGTGTGTGTGCGGTGCAAGTATAAATATAGAGGCATGGCTGCACGGCGCTCGTGTGCGGCTGAAGCCAGTGCGCCTGCTGGTCTCTCGGAATAAGCGCAACTTCCACACGCTCCTGGTTCCTCTTCTCTCTTTCGCTCTTTTTTTATTTTTCTTTCTTTTATAAATTTTATTCTTCTTTTTTCTTGGTGGAAGGAAGGACCAAGGCCTGGGCGGCTGTTTCCAGAGCCACCCCCCGGGATGGGCTCTCTGTCGGCCCTGCGCACTCTCCTGATCCTGGGCCTGTTCGCGAGACTTGCGCTGTGCGCTCCGGCCCTGAATCGAACTGCGGAGCGCTGGGAGGCCCTGTACTCCCGCTCCTTGGCACGGATCCCGGGGGAGAAGCGGGTGGATATCAACCGGGACAGCGACTACCTGCTGGGTATTAAGAGGCTGCGACGCCTCTACTGCAACGTCGGAATCGGCTTTCACATTCAGGTGTTACCGGACGGCAGAATAACCGGGGTTCACAACGAGGACCGATACAGTAAGTTCTGCCAGTCACTGGTCATTGGTGAACCGCCAATCAGCTGCTGATTATTTAAAATGTTCACATAGGGCTGGTGTTAAATTCGCGAAAAAGTCACTGTGACAGTGTTTTAAAAAAAGTTTAAAAATCTGATGGACGTTATTATAAAGAAAATAACATTTTAAAATATATTCTTCTATTATTTTTAACCGATTAAAATATACAATAATAATAATAATATAAAACAAATTCTTTACAATAAAAAAATTACAGTTGATTTTTGTTCAATTGAAAATGTTTTAAATATGTACATCAATATATGTTCCATCATCGAATGGTCCATAGCGCGTTAATAACTTATGAATGTATAATTGGTCTTTAATTATATATTAAAGTTCTTTTTTGTAACAGTTCCGGGCGGAAAGGAATTAAACCATTAAAACCACTAATTGATTATCCAATCAAAACAGCCGGGGGGAGGGGGCGAGGAAGAAATGATGACATGTTGATCCAACACATCTGGAATGTCACTTCCACAGTGCCTCTGAGCAACGCACTTGCACTAGGGTTGTTGCTGCTGCTTGTGCGTAACCAGAGCCGTGCCGCAGCAGCAGCAGCTAAAGTTAGGTCACAGTGCGCACCGTGCACAGATTAACCCGCGTGTCCGTGTGCGCTCTCCTGCCCAGACGCATGAGACATAGATAGGCTCAACATTTGCAGACATGAAGGGAAGCAAAACACGTCGTCTGCCGTTGGAGAATCCTGCTTTTCTGAATGCCACAAAAAAAACTATGAAGAAATTGTTTCCAGTTCATATACGGCCTAGTCAGGAACATGTGTTTAGAACAGGGTTGCCACATTCAGGGAAATACATTAAAAAAATAAATAAAAATAAATATATAAATAAATGTGAGGAATTTAATCCTAAAGTTATTTGGTGATTTTCCAGGAAACGCTGACTTAGAGATGAAGCAATAACAACAGATGTAACGTCAACAACAACAACAACAACAACAGTGCTGATCATGATATTAATAACAGCTGCTATGGCTGAGCGACTTAACGCCTTATAAATTAATTAACGTTTTTTAAAATTGTATTTTCTTTTCCGGAATTCTTTGTTATTTGAAATTTCGTTGCTCAGTGGCATTGCTGGATACTAGTGATGGTGATCGGTCACGAACGAAGCGGAACATTTTGAAGGGGAAGACAGCAGTAATAGCCATTTTTGTCTCCCTGTCCAGTATCACGTTATGGTACGTGTTCCAGCGACAGGGGGAGGGGCTTCAGTCAGACACAGCAACACAGACAGCAGTACATACAGTGAGAGAAGCGGGGGGAAAAATAGCAAAATAAGAGGAAAAATCACAGCCGCTACACCTTTACTGCCATAAAACGTACTAAAAGTTTGGGTGTTTTTCAATAACTAATAACACCAACGAGCTGGTTCTACTAATAAACAGCACAGACACATAGGAACTGTCCAACCAACAGTGCAGTTAGAAAAAGGCGGAAAAGTGAACCTGCTACTGATGGAAATGCTAACGATGCTAACGATGCTGCTGATGTGGCGACTACAGTATCTTCTACTTCAACACAACTGTTTACACCTATAACACTGTCTCCTTTTCTACATACAATCAGGAAATGGTTCATTTTGTATTTTTATATAGTTTGAATATTGTGTTTTACACTGTTTTCTTCTATATTACAACAACTACAACATAAATACCCAGGGAGCCATTTGGCGAGTCAGCTTCCTCTCAGGTAGCATCCAAGTTAACCATGTTAACACATGTATTTACACTTTTAATTAAGTTAAATAATTATTCTATTTTCTTATGCTAGCACTTTAATTGGTTAATCAATTAAGTTCACCTCACTCTAAAACATCTTATGCTAGCACTTTAATTGGTTAATAAATAATTAAGTTCACCTCACTCTAAAACGAGTTCCTACTACTGGACAAGTACTGTTAATGCTCTGCCTGATTAAAAAAGAAAATTGATTGTTTTAGTTCCTGTTCAGAAAGAAAAGGGAAAAAGCATTTATAAATGTTACATGTATGTAACATGTTATGAATGTGGCGCTGGACTCTGAGGGTAACTTCAGTTCTCTTTACCTGACTGGATAAAATGTAATTGCCCTGACGGTGGTGTAGAGAAAGAACGTTGGTTTTAAATTTGATGCAATTCCATTAATATTTAATTAAAGAGGGACTAGAAATATTTGAGCTGCTACTGTTAGGATAGAAATACTGCTGTTCACGGATAGTATACTGTAATAAATGTGTGAGTAAAAGGTACTTCCAAAACCAGGCGGTCTACTGCTGCTCCAGTTTGGTCTGGACAGAAATGAAACGTCGTCAGCCATTCTCCAAGCCATTTCCTTCTTCCTTTATTGCTTTAGTGGCCACACTGAGACTCCTCTTCTCCTCCCTCGGTCTTGACATAAAAAACGCTCATTTCCTTTGCTCAATATGCCAGTGTTGACACAGGTGAAGGGACATTTTAATAGTCAGATAAACTCAGTCACTTCTGTCAGATACGTGCAAACTCCCTTTAAAGTGGCCTGAAGGTTCAAAGGTTTTTCACTGCAGCTTTAACTGTAACTGTTCCGTTCTATTGGTAAATTACTGTCAGATGTGGACAGTGTTTACACACAGGCCAGTTCTAGTCTGTGATGCTGAGGATGCAATTTAAGTGTTCAGTGTGAAAGAATAAGTGACGCCTAGTGGTCAGACAGCAGAACGAACAAAGATCTTTTAACTCTTCTCCTTCCATCACTGTCCAGTCACTATTGTCTGGAGTTAACTGACCCCAAACTTTAACCTTAGCGGGGGTTTTGTTTAAAATGAATATGAAATATTTTAGGTTTCATCGTGTAAATGGGGATATTTCACAAAAGAGAATAACAATTGAAAAATTCTAAGGCAGGTGTTATCATTTTAAAAGATGTGATTTTTAAAAAGTTGTCACATGTCTCTCAGGTGTCTCCAACCAATGAAAGACTTGGACAAACCAAAACAGAGGAGTTTTTTTATTTTATTTTAACTGAGATCATGTAGAGATAAAGTTTTGTCATCATCATAATGTTTTGGTTTTTGTTTACATTTAGACTGACTGTGAATGTCAGTAGGTCCAAGTGTAAATCAGAACCAAGGGCTTCAGTCTCTTTGTGTCATTGTCTTTCCGCAGGTCTTCTGCAGATCTCTACAGTAGAGAGAGGCGTGGTCACTCTGCTGGGCATGCGCAGTGGACTCTTTGTGGCCATGAACCGCAAAGGAAAACTCTACGGATCTGTGAGTGTACGAATCACTGTCCCTGATACTGTTTCCTGTCTCTGTCCCCTCTGTCTATCCATCTTTTGTTTTTTCAACCTCATGTCTTTTGCAGTTGTGGCTAAATAATAGTTCTGTAATTTCAACACCGACCTTGGGGAAACACTGATCTTGCCCAAAAACCTCGCCCATGAATTAAGGCCAACCCTGTTTACATTTGAAAACTTCTCTTCATCCAGTATTTCCCAAAAAGAATGTTGAAGGTGGAGATTAAGGACAGGAATTAGAGAAAGGCAAGAGAGATGATTTGAGGATGTAGTGAATGAGGTTGAGGAGAGAGTTGGTCCTTCATTTCAGCTGCTAATGTTCTTTCAGTTTCTTTCAACTGTAGAAAAATTCATTTGATTAAACTTTGTCTTAGTACTTTATGAATGAGATTTTAACATCTTACATATGCATAGCTTGAAAGGGTAAAGTCATGTTTTTGTGGCAAAATCTAATGCAGCTTTCTGAACAGAAACAGTCTGTAACTCGGCAATTGTGATTTTTTAAATTTTTTTTACTTAAGCTTTCACAAATGACCTTAAACTAGGACATTTGAAGGTTGTTTCTGGGCCACAGCTGGCCAGCGGGCCACTGTTTGAAATGACTGAGGGCTTGTTTGGATGCATTAGATCATCAGACACATTAGCAGTACTGAGGATATACAGCATGTACACCTGTCCTTAGAAGTTCCCACTATAAAGATTCAGGTATTTGTAGAATTTAAAGAATGCAAAACATCAGAGTCCATTCAGAGGTCTTTGTTTAGATTTTGGAAACACTGTGGTCCGTGTGAGGTAAAGTAGCAGAACTAAGCCAACAACAGTGGGCCTGATCCATCATCAGTCAAGTCAAGACATAACAAAAAAAAAGTAAATAGTCAGTCAGAAATCCAGGAAGTAGCTCCGAAACTGAACCCTTCATTATACAGAAGTAATCAATTCATTTCCTACAAGGACAACGTTAGCAAACCTACGGTGCTGACTGCTGACAGCTTGGGTGATGTCACTCCACTAGAGCTGAGCGATAGAGTTGAGATGTCAGATATCAGCTGAGTCACTGTGACCTTTTAATGCAGGTCTCATGGAGCCACATGGTTAGTTCCAGGACATGACTGAGTGGAGTCTGGGTTACTGCCACAGTCATGGTGTATCTGTTGTTTTACAAACTGTCAGCAATTTTTAAGTTAGAGACAGATTTTGCTCTACCTTGAAATGTTAATGGATTGACTATATTTCTACATTCTGTTATTTTTGTTATATTACATGGGGTTTGTTGGAGGAATGGTCATTTAAATACAAATGAAAAACGTAAGTTATAGTCTATTTAACCAATATGTGTTTTGTGAATTCTGACTCTTTGTAAATTGGACTTTGTACTAGTCGGAATTTAGTAACAACAACATGAAAACAAACATCCATATCCTCCTTCACTCATTACATCTCATTTCTCCTTCAGTTTCACACATAATGTATGTTTAGTTGTAATGATGCAACACAGTTGCTGAAGATGCTGAGATGTTCACCGGGAGTGACCAGGGTGGACAGGATTAGAAATGAGCAGATCAGAGGGACAGTGAAGGTGGAGATGTTGGACAAAGGATGTTGGAGATGGTTGGTGTTACCAATAGGGTTAGATGGAGGGAGATGGTCTGCTGTGGTGACCCCTTAAACAGTTGAACAGCTGAAAGAAGAATAATGACCGTACAACCCTAACCCCAACTGTTGCAAAACCTGGGATTAAATACAGTGACTACCTGGGAATTAGGTGTGAAATGACTTTAAAGAACCTCAGTGATTCTTGGGTCTTCATCACAAAACACAATATGTTTAAAATAATGAAGATTTCCATTTTTTAATTTCTATTTTCTTAACTACAGTGAACAGTACACACCTGAACTCCCCCGCCTCAGACGAGACCCTCTCATTTACATGTTTGTTCATTTGTTTTTCTCCTCTTCCTCCTGCTGCAGTTACACTTCAACAACGAGTGCAAATTCAGGGAGAAGCTGCTCGCCAACAACTACAACTCCTACGAGTCGGTGGCCTACCCCAAGATGTTCGTCGGCCTGAGTAAGAACGGTAAAACTAAAAGAGGAAACCGAGTGTCTCCCGCCATGACGGTGACACACTTTTTACCCAGGATCTAGTCGACAGACTCCACCTCAGCACGGAGACGACGGCAGGGAGAGAGAAAAAAAACTCCAAACCTTGATGCACTTTCACGCCACGTCACAAGCAAGTGTATCATACTTGTTATTTTCTTATGTGTATATATCTGTTTTTCTATTCATGTATAATATGAGTTTTGTACTTTTTAGAACTTTTTTTCTTAAAACTGTTTGGATTATCAGAGGGGGATCAGAGTTATTGATTTTATTTTATAATATTGCGAACATTTGCTGCTATTTGGATGAAAGTCTGTTGCTAGTTTGTTGTGCACTGGTGCGTAAAGAAGCAGCAGTGAGTCAGAGATTTTGATTTTATTATTATTATTATTATTATTATTATTATTATTATTATTATTATTATTATTATTATTGTCTAGATTTTGATAGATGTTGACGACCACTCATCCCAGTACAAAAGTCCAACATTTTTCCAGATATTTTTCAAATTCAAAGCATCACAGTTGTGAGGCCTGACCTTACACAATTACTCATGAAACTTTATCAAACATTTAGAGCTATTTTTATTAGTATTCCCGTTTTTCTGTGCTAAATGTTTATAAAATGTTTTTTTAAAAAGTGTTCTCAGAAGTAACCTCCAGAAAACCGTCCCATCATGCACCATGGTCCTCTTTTAGCCTTTAGCTTAGTTTGGACCATTTGTGTCTCTTAGCACGACCATCTTGAAAATCTTAAGAGGATATGGCTCATCTGAATTTTGTGGCAAAAATCTTTTGTGTTTGTGGGCAAAGCTGTGGGTTGTGTTTGAAAAGGAAGCCCAAAACTAGGCCAAATTATATCAGGGCAAAAAACGTTTTGAGGCAAATACTTTAAACATTGTTTTTAGAAATACAAAATCCTTAACTTTTTTTCTGTCGACCTTTTCCTCAATTTGTATATTAAATAGATTTATTATTATTTATTAACATTTTATTACTATTCTATTATTTTATTATTACTATTGTGATCAAATATATCTTTATTTCATGTCCCGTTAGCGCCCCTGTTGTCAGCGGTGGTTGCTCCATGTACTGGTGCTTTTGAGTGGCACCGGAGCCTAATTGAAACAGTATCGTCTCACTGTTAGCACTGTGTGAGCATGTGTGTTTGTGGGATTGGGGGAGGGGAGTTTGAAGAAACCCCACAACCCCTCTACTGGTCTGTTTATAGCCCTGCCAAGGAGGGTGAACTCTGAACTTTTCTGCCCTTCATCTCCGTCAGATCTATGAGGCTCTTGATGGAGCGCTACATCCTCTGTGCAGTTGTACAAGAGAGGGAAATCTGCAGGATTTAAAGGCAAGGTCAAAGAGCTGAAATGTAGCCGATAAACCGGTAGCCTTGGCCGCAGAATAGGACCATTCTTTATGTCAGGTTATTTCAGTTTGTCCGGTGGCTCTTGGAATGGAAGAAATGAGTCTGCCTGCCGGATCGGAAGCCGGACAGTCACATAACTCATGGCATGTTTGTGCAGCTAGGACAGATATTTCCTTTATTGCCTGCTTGTTTGTGTCTACGTCATTTACCTAGTCATCGTCGTCTTTTCATAGACGACACAACTCATTGTAATTATATGAACTAAGCTAAGTCGCGGACTTTCGGTAGCAGTGGAGGTTTCCTGTAAAGGACAGGTTCATGTGTGTCCTTTCAATAGTTATGTTAACTGTCAACTTTTGACCTAGTCCTTACCAATCTATTCCCAATCTGGTGCCTCTTTAGTATACACAGATCTGACCTACCACACATAAAAGAGATAGCCCACGATGGTTCTCTCATTTGTTTCAGTGGCATCCCATTGCATTCCAACACACTGGCAATATTGACCACAGATTTGTAAAACAATAAAAAAATGGATTTCAATGTGAAACTACTATTGAAAAACTCACTATGATGAAAGAAGTTAAAGTGAGGCATCGGCACTGAAAGGATGAGACTTCAAGGTTGACTTCTGTCAGAGAGAGAAATAAAAACCAACACTTAGCTCCTTACCACAACTCAGCTGAACAAAAGGACCCTTCTAAACCCCTCTCCTCACAATTCCACTTTGAATCACAACAAAACTTACTCCAAACTGAGAAGAGTCCCTCTCATGTGTGCAGCTGTGTCCTTGGTGATGTGATTTGATGTACTTGTACTTGCCTGTGTTGAAAGTCCATTGCTTTCTACCTCCAGATATGTAGGCTATATATGTATATATATATATATATTCTGTATTTATTTCAGAGTGATGTATATATATAAACATATACTGTATGTAAAAGCGCTCAGGAAAATGTAGCTAACGGCCCTACGGTGCTGAACTGTATTTGGGCAGTTAGGTTCCATAAAAGCCCCTTAAGTAGAATGCGGCATTTGTTGTCTTTATGCTAAGCTAACTAAATAACTCAAAGTCGGCACTTGTATATGTTCATGTACAGGCCGCGCAAAAACAGACCATATGACCTACACTAATTCCACGGGCCATATACGTTGGCCTCGTAAACCTGCTGACTGGACAGTGTCAGTCAAGTCAGGGGATTTCCCAGATCTGCTCCCATCCTGATATTAAAGCCGTCACGTAATCAGTTAAGGAATTTCTGAGGTCGTACATCAGTGTCATCTCCAGAGTGTCTTTCCTCCTCAGCACACTGATAAACAACAACACACTCAGGATAAAATAAACCCGATAAGAGGATACCCCTCCGGTACAACTGACTTCCAGTTCCTCTCTGTAGACCCACAGCCTCCTACAGCAGTGGCCCTTTCCACTCATTTCCCAGACTCCTTCAGGCTTGTATCATGTCTTTGAGAGAGCTCTGAGCTCAGCTCTGGTGGCCATGCTGTCCTAGTTGCTCCTTTTCACGTTCCGGCTATCTTTACCCGGTGATTTACTTTTAGAAAGGATAATCATGGGAGAAATATTTACAGACAGCTGTTGGACTGTACTATATGCTAGGGCCAGTAACCCTATATTTTTTTTTATATATTTTGTAAATATAACCTCTAAGTAACTGACATGCTGGTATTCCTTTCAGGGGGGCGGGGAGATTGGGGGAGGGTGATGGGGTTTTAAAGCAACAGTGTGTCTGTCCATCTCACTTGGGGCACCCGTCCAACTTTGGTTGGTTTTGGTATAAATCAAATAACTGTGCCAGCCAACGTTATTGGTTGTAGAGAGGTGGACTGGTGACCTCTGACCTAGTAAACATCCGTGTTCTCCTAGAATGTTCTGTTGTTTTCCTCGTCCAGATATTTGACCAAGAGGTCTGACGTCTCAGTTTCAACATTCCACATACAATCAAACACACTGTACGCCGTCGGTGGAGGTTCTCAGTTGTCCAGGTCATGACGTCTTCCGGGGTGTTGACGTTGGAGACTGGACTTGACAAGTTTCCTTGTAGATATTTTAATGCTTCACGGGCGACAGAAGTAGAAAGGCTCCTGGAATGACAAGTGACGCCTCCACAGAACCTGCCCTCTTGAGGGTATTTGGAGATGGAGCAGCTTTATGTCCAAATGTTGTGAAGAGTTCATCATCTCGTCTTAGGAACGGGATGAGGATGACGCCTTTGCGCAACCGGTTGGTCGCGCTGCCTGGACACGCACACACATGTTAGGTATAAGGTTGCAAATAGCTCAAGCAAACATCATGCAAACTTTTGCGGTGGTGGCGTCAGGCTGTGATTCTCATGTAAGCGAGCAACGATGTAAGGGATCGGAAGCTGGCGTTAGCTAGGAAGGCTCTAACTGTCGGATTAGACGCCGAGGCTCGACTCTATCGTTCTGTCTTTGATAAAAACATCTAAGCGTAAGCTCTGAGCACAGATTCACGCAGTAATACTGCACAGCTCTGCTGCTCACACAGCTGGGCTTCATGTCCTCAAGTGTCACTGCTTTGCATGGCAGGCATCATGTTTACAGAAGAATACCTCTCTGCCCCGTGTCACTGACCCACGGCCGGTCCTCTACCCGACCTGCTCATTTGATTATTCAGTCGTGGCTCAGTCAGAAGCATCAATGTAGTCACTCTCTGTGACTGGTGCGGCAAACATTTAGGCTTTTGTCAGTGAAGTCTCTTATCCAGACAGACATTCACGAGTACAAGTTTCCACTTGCGACTGATATTTCTTTAGGTTGTGTTTAAATATATACAGCAGTATATGTCAATGTGAAGATCCAAAAAGTCCAAAATTAAAACAAGTCACAGGAGACAATATATCAATAAAAACAAAGGAGGGAATATATGCCAGATACTAACTGTAATTATAATTGAACTTTGCTGAACAGAAAGTTTTACACCAGTGGCTTTTTCAATTGAAAACACTGTCTCTTACTTTCTAGTAAGTTAGAGCTATGTCCATGTGTGAATGACTTGGAGAGGAGTAAACTCTGTATCCAACCACTATGACGTTAAACTGGGAAGACACCTTAGCATAGTTAGCGTACATCCTGCTCCAGTCTTTGTCCCTGATGTTAACATTAGGGATGGCTCCATACAGCTTTTATATGTCTGATACTGCAACTTGGAGTATCTGCCGATATCGATATCAATACTTTCTTTTCTCCTCCAGCACGAGTATCGGATCAAGGCCAAAATACCTCCAAACTGCAGATATTGTTAAACTTAATAAATAACCATAAGGACAAAGACTCTAAACTATAGCAGCAAAAGACCAATTGGTCCGAGTAAAGTAGTATTTTACATTTTAACATTTTCATAAATGTGTTTTTATAGAACCCCTCACCCTGACCCCAGTTCTACGACAGTAATAATCCCTGTGAAGTTAGGTCAGGATCAGACGACAGTCCGGACACTTCTCACTGATAGGAGTGAATTAAAACACATACATAAGACACATACATGTACCACAGAAAACTAATGACACTTCTGAATCTGAAGTGCACAAGTGACCAATGAACTGACCCGCTAACAGTGATGTCACGGTGGTGATACACACGGTGGTTTTTCTTCACACAGATGTAGATTCCATGGTTCAAACTGCTTCTTAACAGTGTGTACGTCTTTCTGACTCTTAACTTTTCTGTTTTTGTTTTTTGTTTTTCTTCTTCTTCTCTGACTCTTAACTTTTCTGTTTTTGTTGTTCTTCTTCTTTATGTACTGTTAAACTGATGATACTGTTTCCTCTGTGAGTCTGTGGTCTTAGTACACTGTTAGTACACTTTCTGTGTTGGCTACTTTTATCTGTTGTCCTGTAGTTTTATACAGGGAATCATAAGACTCTGTATGTGCTGTGCACATAACTAACATCTGACCTAAAGAAGGTTGGCAATAAAATCTTGATCCCCCCCAAAAAAAGTGTCCTTTCTTTGCTGGTTTGTTTTTGTTGTTGTTGTTTTTAACACATACATTACACATATAGAAGAAGCCAGGAGGAATGGTATTTTTTTTTTTGTGAATATTATCTACATATCGAAGAAATACATTAGCTAATAAAGGCACTTGCTACTAATCAGTCAGTATATATGTATTATTCATATTAAATTTAAAAAATAGCCCAGTGTGGGAGTGGCTTATAGTCTGCGTGGCTTATATTAGGCTTATACAAGGAGTGACTTAATTTCCATGAACTACTGTAAGTCTGACTGAAGGATTTGGACTGTCAGGACGAGTGCAGCAGGTCAGTTTTTAGCATTATTTTAGTTGAGTATATGACAAGTTCCCAAACTGAACAAAAAGTTGATAATAACAATTAGAAAAAGCAGCAGGTGAATCTAAATGTAATTTGTTTTGTCAAAAAAACCCAATGAAAATAATTTCTCTCCATCTCCTCTATGTATGTTTTAACATCTCCACTGAGAATTCTGTCTTTGTAGAATTCTGAAGGATATTTTAGCACCAAGTCACAACCTGTATCTTTGCCACGTTTAAGGACTGAAATCCAGGTCCTGGTTTTTCAGTTTTGTGTCAAGGACCAAAACATCTAAGTGATCAGATCAGAGCTGAGGTTTTACGGCCACAATGAGGATAAAACACAACTTACAGAAATCTAAAAATAACATTACAACTTTTGTGCCTCACAGGGGTGACTCGCCCCCTGCTTTGGGAACGAATGCTTTAAAAAAAAAGTTTTGTTAATTGTGATTGCACAGCTGACAAATGAATGGCTAACCAAATACTGAGTCAGTCACCATTGTGATTGCACAGCTGACAAATGAATCAATCAGTCACCAAAATGGTCACACATGTACAGTTGCAACTTATTATAAAAATTATTTTTACACACAGTAAACTACATCCACAGATGCCACTTTAAAAAAAAAAAATTACACACAGTAAACTACATTCTCTACAACATTCCCTACTTTAAAGACCAAAATAGTTGACTGAAAAAAAAACATGAGAAAAGTTGATTGGATAATGCAGTGATGGTTCATTAAGTTCATTAACACTGCAGCAGTCGACTCTTTAGACAGACGTTTCTTTCAAATCTCACATTTTTTTTCCACCAATGTCAAAGTTCAGTTAACCCTGCGAGCACTGACTGGAGACTAAAAACTTTCCTAATGACCCTGGATGCAATGATACACATTTCAATACTGCCCCATCAAACGAGGGTGGATTTTATTTGATGATATCTCATTAGGTGATCGGACCAAACGTCTGATCGCAGTTGTTTCATTAAGAACTATTTCTTCACCTTTCTGTTTTCGTTGGCCTCCTCACCCACGGCTGATGGTGTGTCTACTGCACTGTGGCCTTGCAGCAGAGGAGGACAGGTGTTCACATAACTCCTCAACATATATATTTCTGTCCCTCCATTCAGCTGCAGCCGGAGCTAAAAGTGTCCTCATCACCGTCTCTAAGAATGACAGAACGACAGCTTTCTGCTGCAGGGCCCGGGGAAAAGCTGTAAAGCAGACTAAAGATAGTCTGGCCTCCTGCATCCTCGGTGCTATTGTCTCCAAGATGATCTCTGTACACACACACACACACACACACACACACACACACTACACACTGTGCAGTGAAGTCAATCTCACACCTGTGGACGAAACGTCTGAGCCTTTGAAAGTGGGCAGCGTGTGAAGACGATGGGGTCGACAACAATGTCTGTGCCAACAGTGAGAAAGACTTAACGGCCCCTGAGTGGACACAGGTGAGACAGACACACACGTAAATACACACACACACACACACTTGTGTTGTGTTTTGATGTTTCATTGCCCACAACAATAAAGTCGGCTTCACAGCACACTGTCCGTGATGAAGACTGTGGTCGAGCTTCATCGGCTCTAACGCTTCATTTCTCTTTGGTCGAGCTTCATCGGCTCTAACGCTTCGTTTCTCTTTTGTTTGGTTTTTATATATATATATATAAAATAGACTTTTTTTTCTTATTTTAGTCATAAAGTCAAGTATCTTTAAAGGTTTCTAATACTAAATCACATTTAGATTCAAAACTTCTTTTTAATGCAGACCTGGCCAAAAAAGGCAGCAGCAAATACAAAACGCAGCTAAAGCACAGAACAGAGTAGAGAAAATGCTGTTGAACTAATTTAACTAATACAGGTTAATTTTTTAGATTAAGATTAGATTCCAGTTGAACTTTTATAATCTTAGTTTAAATGAGATTAGATGAGATTAGATTTGTAACAAATTCATTACAGGCATATGTCAGGCTAATGTTTCAACCAAGACTCAACCAAGTGACGACCAAGTGAAATTAGTACAGGGTAGTGTCATGAGTAGGAAGAGTGGATTAGACTAGAATAGATTAAAGTAAATTATAGCAATTTAGATTTGAGCAGAATAGAATACATTTGATTCACGTTGTGTAAATTAGAAGATTAGATAAGACCAGATTGAAAATCAAAAATGCATTTTATGCGGCACAGGTGATCCGACCACTGGAGGCTACGCTAAGTTGAGTTGAATTTCTCTCTGTGCATTTGTGTGTGTGTGTGTGTGTGTGTGTGTGTCCTGGCTGACAGCATCGTTCATCTTCCCTCTGTTTGTTTCCAGAGGCAAATCAGGTGATTAGTAGGAACATTCAAATGTCTACAGTCTGGCTGAGAGGACACCTGCTGCTGCACAACTGCACACACACACACACACACACACACACACAAGGACAAAGAAATAAACTAAATCATAGTAATTTTTTAATAAAAGTGCTTCAACATATAAACTAAAACGCATTGTGTTTTAGGTTGGAATTCTAAAAAATAAAAAAACACCTGGCGTTCCACAAGGGCTTATTTCAGGACCAGTATTATTCTTTCAATGTTTTAGTGTCTGTTTTAACAGACTTTGGACTCAAAAGACTTGGAGGAAAAACAGAGAAAAATGCTGCAGGTATGTGTGAAGATTCTCCAGATGTGGCGCTGTAACATTTAAAACTGCCTGCTCCGCCCGTCTGTCACATCTGGGTTTAACTGTTAGCTGCAAACTGTGGCTAACTGTGTCCAAACGAATAAACTGTCCAGAAGCTCCCTCCTCATCACCCCTCCTCACCCCCCCCCCCTCCTCCTCCCCCCTCCTCCTCACCCCTCCTCCTCACCCCTCCTCACTCCTCCTCATCACCCCTCCTCACCCCTCCTCATCACCCCTCCTCACTCCACTTTACTGAACTGGGAAGGCAGCATCATGTTAGCCTCTATTACATTAAAGACTAAACAAATTAAGCAATCTTTAAGAATACTGTCGGGTAGATTAGACTAGACTAGATTAGAGTGGATTGGATTATATTAGAGTAAATTATAATAATATAGATATGACATAGACTAGAATAAATTTAATTGAATTAAAGTAAATAAAAATATATCATACTAGTGTATGGTAAATTTTATTTTTTTTTAATTAATTTTTTTTAATTTTCTGAGAGTAAATTATAATAATATAGATATGATATAGACTAGAATAAATTTAATTAAAGTAAATTAAATAAAAATATAACTTACTAGTGTAATATCTTGTAGTGGAAAAATCAAATAAGAATTTACCTTTTTGGCAGTACAACAACAAGGGATGCAGTAAAACTAGAATGAATGAGTGATGTAGAGCTAACAGATGTATCTAGGTGTTAATATTCTGGTTTGTCTGTTCTATATTTGGTTGAGAAACTAAAAATAACAGTTGTTTTTTTTTTTCCTCATTGAGGTGACCTTTTCAAGTGCCTAGATTCACTGTTGCCGTGTGAGGACTTATTCAGGACACATGCTGCCATCTACTGGTGGAAATTGTGAATACAAGTTAGATGAGAAATGAAGAGATATCGGTGCAAAGAATACGACAGACAGCGGTCCACAGGAAAGTACGACTGCGGCTCTGCAACTCTGCAGACACAGCCCTGGCTTTGAACCTTTGCACATCCAGATGATATTAGAACAGATAAGCCTGTGCACTGGTCAGTACAGTTTGATGATGGTGGTGTTTACTCTCTATTACACTTTAACTTGCATGTAAATTTAAGGCCAAGCAGCGGATGCAGAGGCCAGAACGTGATAAGAGCGGAAAAGAGATTGTGATTTCAGTCAGCACTGACCCAGTCTCACAGCTCGGTTTGGAACGAGACCATTCTGTAGACTTTACCCTGAGCACAAATAAAAAAAATGTGCAATTTAGTAGCGCTTTATGTAATGTAATTACGCAACATGCCCCCATGCCAAGATTTACGTTGGCTGGAACTCGCCGTCTGTCCGTCTTTCGCAGTCTCCGCGTAAAAACAAAAACAACAATACTGCAGTTACCTCTGCTCGTACTACTCTCACGGTACTTACTGCTACTAAAAATATTCATACTTATTTTATTGTAATAATGTTGTCTTATGATGCAGTAGAACTGTTGCTTGTGTTGATTTTAGGAATGTCCGATGATATCGGCCGAACGATGTTATCGGACATCCATCGTTGATTTCCATTTGATGTATGTTAACATGTGATCATATGTTAAATATAATGCAAAACGTAAAGGAAGAAATGCCGCCAAGTTGGTTCTGCAGGGATCTCACTAAACTTTAAGGATGCCTAGATATTGGACTAGGGCTTACACTCGAAATACTAGTACACACAACCCCAATACTAGTCACAGCTTTTTACTGAATCCAGCCGCAGAGTGTTACTGTGAAGAAAGTTTCATTTTATATATCTTTTTTTATTATTATTATTCATTTAACCCCTGGTCTACTGTCTAATGTGACGTCAACTTCAAAACAGAAATACTGAATTTGTTTTCTTTTGACCTTAAATATTTTTCTCTTCATGCAAATAAAATAAAACTGGTTGTCAGTATTTTCCTGCTTGGTCTCATCGCTGTGCTTTTGGTTCACTACTTCACTACTTAAAATGTGGTATCAGGACAATCCAAGGTTCTCTGGGGGTTTTCAGAAACCAAAGCACCAGGGGTGTCCGATAATATCAACAAATATCATCGTCCCGATATTAGCCTATTATGTAATATCTGTAAGAATCGTTATCAGTTTTTTCTCCGATAATTAAAACATGATAGCAATGTCTGAGTTTCCATAAATGATGTGTGACCAAAAAAAAATAGTTTTGGGGATTAACGGCTGTATAATCAAATGAAAGTCACTAGATGGCAGCATAGCAGCTCATTTAATTTATCCCATACTCATACAGTGGTTTGCACAGATAAAAAAAAAAACCTTAGCAGCCCTATATATTGGTATCGGTTGATATCAAAATTGGGAATCAAGTGTTTGGACAATATGGGCAGATCAGATATTGGTAAACAGTTAATATCGGACACCCCTACAAAGAATCAAAGTTCTGTATCAGTCATGGTACCGACATCAAACCTGTCACTGCCAAGCAAAACAAACAACCAAAAACTCAAATGTTAAATTGATGCACCAGAGACAAAGACGTGGCGTCACTTCTGTCGTTGTGCATCATAAAGAAATACCATTGCCATAAACAGCTAGCCGAGGTACGGAGCGGTGGAGCAGGCCTCTGTCGAAGCCTGTCAGGGGCCTAAAGCAAACCTCTACTGCAGTTGGATGTCGGGCAGGGGTGTGTTTTGGTCTGCTTCCAAGAACTGGGTTTGGGAAACAGGGTTATCAGCAACTGATAAGGGCCACGTTTAAAAGGCGGGATTTAGGGTGAGCCTACCTAAGCTCACACTCACACCAACAGGATCCAGCATTAACCCATCATGCTTCTACTCGCGGTCACTGTGTCTGTCACCAGTGCCTTTTTTGCTGCAGGAGTTCTCTGTTTGCCACTGATGGACCAGGGGCCGTACATCGACCACGGCTGGGACCAGGTGGTGCGGCTCAGGCACCTGTACGCCATGAGACCCGGACTGCACCTGCTGATCGGTGCCGACGGACAGATCCACGGCTCGGCAGAGCAGAGCGTGCACAGTGAGTAGAGACTTTGACACCTTGAGCTGAAGTCAGTGACAGAGGCAGCACGACTGGAGCCAGCCTGTGGTTCTGATGAGTGTTTGAACCGTAGGTCTGCTCGAGATCCGGCCGGTGGATCCAGGTTGTGTTGCCATCAGAGGAGTAGCCAGTTCACGGTTCCTCTGCATAGAAGGCGACGGGACGCTTTACTCAGCAGTAAGAACAATTTTTTTTTATTGTTGTTGATGAAGCATTAGTCAGTTGATCTGATTGAATTATTATTGAACTATGTCTGAATACAACATGTCCGACAGTAATGATGTTTGGAAAAAAATATTTTGGAAAATATAAAAAATTTTGCTTGGGTTGAAGAAAATCCTTACATCAAATGTAAAAATATATAAAATAAAATACATGTACAATATTGTTTTACTAATTACAAACAACATTATTGATGCCAGAAAATATGTAATATTACCACTATCAGTAGGACGCAGAAGACAATGTGAAACCTAATGTGAGAGCAGTGTTTTTATAATTGAAAAAAAATCCCATTTATTTTAATAAAACTTAATTAACGCAATTGTTATTAAACTCTTGATTTTTAATGTTTTAAAGAGGTTTCAAATGAATATTTCTATGCATTGCAAAAGCAGAAAACATGAATAAAAAATATTATATATAACATATATAATTTAAAATAAAATTATGAATGACATTAACTCAACGTTAAGTCTGTATTTGAATGAAATATTTAAAATAGGTTGGCCCTTTAAAAGAAGTATGCTATAGAAGATAAATGAGTTTTATCATTATGTCTTTGTCAAGTGCTGAGCTGTGTTACATACAGGAGTCTAGATCAAGTTTTTAGGGAATATCATTATGTCTTTGTCAAGTGCTGAGATGTGTTACATACAGGAGTCTAGAAAAAAACAAACAAACAAGTTTTTAGGGGAAAAAAAACTGGATCTCAGTCCTCAGACGTGGGAAAAATCAGGTGATAATCTGGTGTTAAAGAATTCCCCTCGGAATTCTCTGGACCTCAGTGCATTTACACCTTGGGCTCATATATAATAGATTTTATTAAATAGTTTTCCAAGCCGACTTGAAAGTGACAACAGATCGACACCTGAGGAAAACACGTCCAAATTAAACTTTTATTGTCTTTTATCTCAGACAATCTTTCAATATTTCATTGATCTTTAATCACATTTAGATTTTACTTTTTAAAGAGAAACATATTTGAACAAAAACATTCTGAAAGGACCTGAAACATTGTTCCTAAACAAGACTTCTGTTAATAAGGACTTTTTTGATTTTAAACCAAGTCTATGAGACCAGGTTTACTAGACCAGGACTATCAAATCAAGTTAACGACCAGGTCGTCTTGGGTAAACATTTAATTTCTGCTGGACTGACGGACATTTCCCCTGGTACAAAAATGATGACATGAAGGTCCTCAGAAAAAGACAGAGATGAGGTAAGGTGGTAATTAGATTTACAGAAATATAACATAACTATAGATTGAGCTTGGTTAAAAAAAAGTAAGATCCAGGAGAAGAATTTTGTCAGGAAATTTAACTCTTTTAAAATAATAATGGGGGAAAATATGTCAATTTTTAATGTAATGGTTTTAATAGTCACTAGAAGATTTATTTAGAACTTGCTGTCTGTAAAAATGCTGCTTCTAAAGGGACATTTCACGCACGTAGAACAGCAGAGCTGGCGATCGAACCCCTGACCTTCCATTTCAAATCAACCTGAACTGCTAACAGATGTGTTGATACTGTAGATTCAAGTAATAGGACAGATTTGACTTACGCTATTTATTAGTTCATGGTAAGAACATAATTACTGTTTGAGAATTATTGATTGATCCACAGTGGGGGAAAATAGTACTGTTTTTTTGTTTTGTTTTTGTTTAAAGGAAGTATGATGTTTTAAAGAAAGTTCAGTGAGGTCTTCCGGAATTAACCACTGCTCCTTAGGAACAGGTGATAGGTGTGTGTATATATTATATATATATATATCTATTGAAAATATACAGACACGGATACAGATCCAGGCAGTGAATTTATATATATGTTGTATATTATTATAGTATATGTATAGTGTGTGTGTATATATGCAGTCTATATGTATATATATGTATTTATGCAGTATATATACATATTTATATGATCTTCAATGATTGATTTGCCTACCATGTCCCACGTCATTCATTCAAACAGTGGACCTGTTCATTCAACCTTTGTCCAGTGTAGCGCAGGTTAAGATGTGTTTGCAAAGTGAAAAAAAACTGAATGAAAAGATCCTGCAGCAACAACAACCTTGGTCTCTGCCCACCTCTCTTTATCCAAAGTAAACATCAGTCCATTAACTCCTGGCTCCATTAACATAAGTTTTCCACATCCATTCATAAGAACTAGGTTGGAAAATACCAACGAGGAGAAACAGTTTTTTAGCAAAAACTCAACGTTTGTGGTATATTTTTCTTTTAAAAAATGACAGAAACACATTCCCCACCAATCATCAATCACTGCTGCTCATTGTGCAACAGGATTTTATTATTAAATGGATGTAGTTTATTCTTCAGCAACTCCAGTTGTGACAGTGAGGACATGAGGTGAGCATGTCCCAGTTTGGACGGTCAATATTAGAGCAGCCAGTAAGTAACAAGTCCATCATTTGACAACTGTAAATATTCTCCCACTTGGTGGCAGAAAATTTATAGAAAGTAGAAAAGTGAAAGAGACTCATAGAAGTTGAAGAAGATCTTTGCGTGTGTCTTTCTTCAATTCCTGCTTGAATATCAGAGTTGTGTTCAACTAAACAGGCACAGGTTTCACACAGAGTAGATAAATTGTGGGCTGTTTAAAATCTGCAAAAGTTCACAACAAATATAGATTTTATTTCTGTTAAATTAACATTGTTTGATGGATCATACTAATCAGTTAATACCAATATTTGTGGTTTTTGGACATTGGCGTATGTACTGCTATTCTAATGCAAGTGTTTAAAAGTAAAAAGATGCTAAATATATAGTCAGGTCATTGATTTTTGACTATATTGTGAGGAACAGAAATATCAGATTTTAAGTGGTTCTGTATTTATAGTTAAAAGGGAGATTTTTAGAAGAAAAAAAAATTAAGTGGGTTTATGCAACACATCTGCATGAGCTGCGGACGCCCTCTGCTGGCCACTACATAGACCGGTACAGAAAGTCCATTTGGTTTTACGATTCCTTCAAAATTACACTGGTTTGGTTAAACTTCATTGTCCTTAAGATATAAAACATGTATGGGTCAACAAAATGAAATGAGAAAAACTATGAACAGCCTACATTAAATAATTTAGAGATTTGTTCTGAATCCAACAAACCGAACTACAAATGTAAACATCTATATTGATAAGGTGCAGTTTCTTCAACAAATCGACTCGTTTCTTCCAGCAATCCTACAACAGAGACGACTGCAGCTTCAAGGAGCAGATCCTACCAGACGGCTACAACGTCTACACCTCCGACAAACACAGAGTTCTCCTCAGTTTAGGAAACCAGCGACAGCGGCTGCAGGGCCGAGACCGCGGAGTCCCGGCCCTGGCCCAGTTCCTCCCCAGGATTAATACCGTGCCAGAAGCCCTGATTTCCGGACTCGGCGTCCCAGAGCAGCCGAGACCAGGTGCAGCACAAACAGAAGAGAATATGGACAACGTGGACTCTTTTGGAAAACTCTCTCAGATCATCCACAGTCCCAGCTTTCATGAGAGATGACGGAGTCACAATAGGAGAAACTCGGAAAAAAGAACTTTGTCCTCAGCTGTTTGGCTTCACCTGAGCCATCCAGCAGGTGCGGCACAGAACCAGGGACGACACTTGCGGTCTAGTCAGCGGCTCCTGAAAATGCTGCTGCTGAGACACCCTGTCGGTACAGTCCTGTCCACCGTGACTGCGACGTCCTGCAGCTTGAGACTGTCCATTTATACTCGCTTCGTTCATTTAGAATCACCAACTAATGAGCAGCAGAGGGCAGTAGGGGGCGACATTCTTCCATATGTGGTCAAACTGACTAAGAAAGCAAGCAAGGGCCACACATTGAGTTAGGTCATTGGGTTTAAACCACTAACAACACAACATCCGCCTGTAGCTAAGGCTGTGAGAGACATCCTCTGTTGTACAGCTACCATTCCAAATTAGAACTATTTCATGATGATCTAAGTAGGGACTAAAGCTTGAGCTTGACCTCCTGACCTGGTTGATAGGCAACAGTCTCTAACAACCGATCAACAGGCTACAACCATCCTACAAACTAGAGAGGCCCAGAGAGAAACACTGAAACCTAGATCAGATTTAGTCTCTGGCCGTCATTCAAACACCCGTGTTCATGGGCTTGAGGACGTAGCATTGGAATTTTTAAATTACAAACTATTTTGTAGCAGTGCAATCAGAGTTGACCTGTATCGACTGGTAAAAAACACTTTTTCAACACGAACAGGAACAGCTGCCATGGAAACACATTATTATTCACTGATAGTTTTATTATATTCTTGCAAATTTGTCGTCTGGTGTATGAATCAAAATACTTTTGCTCAAAGCAGCCCTCTAGTGGTTCACAGCTGAAACTGATTTTATTTTTTTCAAAACTTAGCAAAATGCTTAAAGTTAATTAAAAATATAATAAAATAAAGGGCTCGGGTCGTGAACATCCATGTAGTCCCTCTTCTGTAACTGGTACTCGTTTAAATGCACCTGAAGGTAAATTTCAACTGACATGGCTGTAGTTTGACTCTAACTTTTTTATATACTGTGATAAGGTTGTAATGTGTTTTCACTAATGGAAACCTGGTTGTGGCCTTTGAACATCGTTAGACTCTCTTCCTTGATTTGTGTTGCAGTTGCTGTTTTGGCACAGGGTTAAGTTCTATTTATTAACTTATTTAAATATTCAGTCCATAAATATAACTATATGTAAATATGACTGTGTTTATTGTACATACGTGTATATATGTATATTGGAGACTTAATAAATTCATAATGATGAAGTTTTGAATGATTGTCTTTCTGTGTACTTTCAACATACTTTCCTCCACAGTAAAAAGCGTGTGATTGCCCCACATACAACCACAGCTACTGAGACAGGAAGTGATGAGTGTAGGAAATGAATGATCGCAAAGACGATGATGATTAGTCACAGATAAACGGAGAAAAAAAGAGATTATTCATTTTATTCCATTTATGTGAGCACACAGCAAAAAATAATTATTTAAAATATAGCCAATTTTCCTAAAATTTGGTGAAATTAAGTAAACTGGCGTTAATATTAGTAGTTCACAATTTTCTTCAGTGCCCCCATTTTGTAAATAATCAAGCCCCCACAGCCCCTTTGGTGTAAAGCCCTTCTGAAATATTGACACTGAAATTCCCTGCATCCGCTGCGGTCCATCCTGCTCCACGCCCCACTTTTGAAACCACTGCCTTATATTAGGGATCGCTGGTTTAACCACCAGTGATAACTAACTGCCTTGCTCGTTTTCTCTGCGTTTTCATGTTGGGAGTTTGCAAATTTTTTTCCATTATTTTCCAAAACGTACAACAAGCTCAAGCTCAACTCCCCAGCATTACACTTAACCAATAACCATTAACCTAAAAAAATGCTTCTAGTGATTGGACCATTACGTCTTAAAGCTCAAACGGCATAATGACATAATGACGATAAATACAGTAAAAAGTATTACTTTAGTATAAGCCTTATTGTCACATATTGTTTATGTTGCTAATGCTAACTAGCTGACAGTGAACTCCTGTTCAGTGACAGCCTGAGAAGCTGTCCTTCACACACTCATCTGCTGTCAGAGGTTCATCAAGACCAGGCAGAAGTTTAAGTCATTAATAACCAGGAGGGGTGTCAGATCCGCTCAGAACACACACAGACGAACAGCTTTTCTTAAAAAAAGAAAGAAAGAAAGAAAGAAATTGCACCAGTACGTATTTGCGAAGCCCTTTTGTAGAACCATGACGAGTTCTCGTCATCCCTAACTTTAACCCAACCGCAATTCAGTCATTGTTATTCCATTAACTACGAACTGAAAACGAAGTTGTGTCTCATTAGGACCAGGTTTAGGTCCTTGTTCGGACCAGAGGTCCTGAAGAATATTAGTTACAGCATCAGAAACAAGCACTCGAACTTTTTATTCGACAGCGAATGTCGAACAGACACTTCAACCGGAAACCAAACCAAACTCTCTCTCTCTCTCTCTGTCTCTCTCTCTCTCTCTCTCTCACACACTAAAAGAGGAAAGGGAGAGTTGACGTTTGTTGTTTCATCGGTTCCTCTTTTTATTCGACATTGACGCAGTGTATGTTGCTGTTGTTGGACATGTATCTTCCAGTCCAGAGCAGCAGCAGCAGCAGCAGCAGTGAAGTCAGGAGAGGAGGCGAACTGTAGAGCTTCTGAACTTGGGGACACAACGGGATTCGGATCTTCATCATGGAAGAAGATGTGAGTAGCGCTTCATCTGCGCCCTTTAAAACACTTTACGACTGGGACCTACACAGCCGTTCGTTTCGCCTCTGAATGTACTGGTAATGACTTGAACTTACAAATCTTTACGCTGTTCCACATGACGTCGAAGCTCATTCGAAGTGAAAAACAACTAAAATATAACCGGGTTTCGGTGCTGCGCGCTAGAGTCGACGAAGAAAGAGGGTGTAGCGGTTAAGAACGACGGCGGGCTGTTCCACAACTTTCTCTGACCCACCCTGCACCTGCAGCCCTGTCAAAAGTCGGTTTTAACTCGACTACCATTGAATTCCAACAACAAAATGTTTAAAAAAAAAAAAAAAAAGTTATAGAAAGGTTGGCTCCTTAGTCAAGAACCGCGTATTTTTACGAAAGAGCACAGCTTTCGAAACGGAAACTCTATCTCTATCTATATCCTCAGATATATATTTGACATGCTTCAACAGTGAACACTGCAATTTTTTGTAAGGTGTGATGAGCTGAAGAGCAGTGCAGGGAAGTGACTGCAGCTAACAGGGCTAATTATAATATGAATACATTACATACACAGTATATGTCAAAGTAGTAGTACTCTAAAAGTCCCCAAACACATTTCTTTAATTTGAGTTTTTAAGTTTTTCATATATATAACTTAAGTCTGACTTGTATTATCTATTTTTTCAACCATTTTGCTATGTTTTATTTTATTTTTATTTTAAAAATGTACCTATAAACCTATAAGTGTAGTTTGTAGCCTACCTTTGCCTGATGTCAGCTGGGCATGGAGTCACCTCCCCTTGAATTCCTGAAACAGATAAGATGGCAGAATAATAAATTATACTTATAAATCGTGTAAGTAACTAGAGGCAGCTCAATTAGCAATTCCTAATTTGAACCAGTCTCATTTGTCTCTTTAATTTAGTGATTTACTGAACAAGATGTTTTTGACTGCATATGTCTATATATGTCAATGTATGTCTATATATATATACATATATACGTCTATATGTCTCTCTCTATATATATATATATATATATATATATATATATATACACACAACATAGAGTGTAGACATACATATTAAGATGCAAGTTGAGATCTATATTTTTTAGACATTCTTAGGTCTTCCTTAATCAGTCCCCTGAATACACTATTCCTTAGGTCTTCCTTAATCAGTCCCCTGATGAATACACTACTCTCTGCAAACTAAATAAGTGCACATTTTGATGAAAATATAGAAACAGTAAGAGGAAGTCATATGCTGAGAAAAGGGGAAGTCAACAGTCAGCCCTGTAACTACGTCTCATGTCCCTGGGAACCTGGCTCACCTTGTAACTGTAACTGTAACGTAAGATTCCCAGGTAGCCCATGACTGGACTTGACTTTTTAAATACAAGAGCAGCTTCTCCTTCCTCTGTGTTTCAGAGCTCATCTCTCCTCCCAGAATAACTCTGCAGGCTGCACACTCTGACACATACACTGAAATGACTTCACCCTCAGTCTCATCAGCCATCATAAATAAGTGTGTTGGCGAATGGTCGGGACATTGAGAGTTTTATGATGGTGTGGTGGTTAGGAGTGGTGCCTCATAGTCACAAGGTTCCTGGTTTGAAGTCTGGGTACCTCAGCTGTCCAACGCCAGGCAGACTGTGTGTGTGTGAATGTCTGTTTCTCTCAGTGTGGTGGATTTGTGATGAAGCAGTTTCCAGTGAAAGGCTGTTGTTGCCAGAAAACCACCCAGGCTGACCTTCAAGGTCGGCACACAGAACTCCTGCCTGTGCCATGTTGTATTTACGGCTCTAACATGTTAATTTAAATGATATATAATTAGAGTTAATCATTGACCAAAGAATGTGGACGTCAGGTTCACTGATTCAGTCGTCAAACCAGAATAATTTAAATAAATGAAAAAAACTCCACCTAATGTTTACAACATATTTTAATAAGAAATGTACGACAGTGAGAATCGAAGTAGAACACAGTGGAAAAGAAGATCAAATGTTAAGTAATAAAGTTAAATTTGGCCAATGTTGATACGTTAAAAACAAATTAGACAAAAAATAATTAGACAAAACCAGTAAGGAGTTGTAGAATAAAATAAATAAATAATTAAGGTTTATCCTTAACTTTAACTAATGGGCTGAAAGACAATGGAAGACAGGGAGTGAGACTAAAAAAGAAAAGAAAAAAAGTCTTAAATACAGTTTGACATGAAAACAATTAAAAAGTCTTTAAAATTCAAATGCACTTTTTGACATCAGAGAGAAGATTATATGGTTCTGGATTCCTTCGAGAAAAAACAAAGTCATTAAAGTCACACCAGTATAGCTTTACATTAAAGCTGGATGCCCACATCTTTCAGACTTTAGTTTTTAGTGGTCACACGGTGGTGTGTAATAAATTCTTAACTTGTAATTAACCGTAGAATTTAAAAAAATAAAAAACTATACTGCTGAGGCTTTTATTGAAACTACTACATGCATCACAGGCTATCACAGTACTGTAATACTCCAGGACAATTAGTACTCTCATGTGTGCCACTGAGTATTTTCTTTTATCTTTTGTTGGTCCTATATCTGTTGTGCTAGCCTTACTGGCAGCATCACTTCAAGTTAAAATTTTGCCATAAGAGATTGTCTTGTGTGCTGTGGAATATCATCCAACACGCACGACAAATAAATACTCTGCTGCCTCTAGTGGCAATAGATGGCTATGAAATGAAACAGTTGTCAAAGCAGATCTTTGTGTGCGTTGTGTTCAACTAAACAGGCCCAGGTTTTACTGACTCATTTTACATTTTCATCCAACTAAAACTTGAAGGCCTTGATTATATTTAATTTCAGGTACATTTTTGTTTGCTGGTGCACAGCAGGAAATATGTGGTGTGTCAAAAGTTTAACGGTGCTTTTGGTTTTAAATTCTCCAGTACTCTGGTTTGGTAATGGCAATAGAAAGGAAATTTACAATTTACAACATATCTCGCAAGATGTTATTTCCGTGTTGCTTATTTTTGTAACGTCAATGATTCAGATCTTTTGTTCCAAATTACCTCGATGACAAACACTCACACGCTCAAGTCACTGAATTATCAGGTTTTGTTTTATAGAGTAAACACCTGACATACTTCAACTTTCACTTCCCAAAAATGAACAAAGACGTTTAAAATGATCTGGGGGGCAGACGTCTAGATAGTGTCTGTGCAAGAGTACATCTCAGTTCTTATCATGAATCAGTGGACTGAGCAGCACAAATGACAGTCAAGCAGATGTTTTGCAGCAGATAGGTTTTAGTTTAGATATATATATATATATATATATGTTGTTGTTTTTTTCTACTTCTTTCTAAATCATTTTCTTTTAGCTTTAGCCGCATTGTACTGGGTTGGAGTTCTGTTGTCTCAACCTTTTTGTCCACATTTGATTAATTAATTCATTTACATACCAACTATTAATTCAATTTCATATTTTAAAAACTAAACTGGCTCAGGACTTTGCATTAATAGATACGTATTTGCCAAACCATTTGAGGGAGAAACAAAAGTCTGATGTTTGTTCTCCAGTGAAGACGTAGTCAACAATGAGCTAACGTGCAACAGTTGGGACTCTTCAAAAGCTCTTTTAATTTTCTCATAAACCACAAGAAAAACACAGTTTAATGAATAGGTTAGAAATACGTCATACCCTCAGTGTTTTTTTGTTTGTTTTTTTCTTTTTTAATCTAAAGCCAAACAGCTGGGCGGGTCGTCCTCCATATGTCTGCCGTTAGTTTTTTAAACATTCCTCTCTCTGTGCCTCACATTCTTCATTTCAGCCTGAGCTGAGGGTTTGTATCATCGCTGAATGAGTCATGCCGTTTCCTCTTTAACCTAGAGTGCAGAGTGTGACGTGTCGGCCTGACGGCTCATCGCAGATGAAACAGAAGGACACATTATACATCAGACACAAAACAATTAACCTTCTCTCATAATCACGCCGTTATCCAGGCCTGCGCCACACAATGAACGATTCTGTGTGTGTGTGTGTGTGTATGGCTGAGTGCACCCTCTTACTGGGGCACCACTTGCAATTTCTGGGAACATTCCTTTATTAAAAAGAACAGAGACCACAATAGTGAATGCATGTGAGTGTCCTTGTTTTTTTGTCTTTGCCTGAACAAAAAAGTCCCAAACTGGAAAATATGACAGAAATGGGTCTCTAAGAGAGATGTAGCACTTCTTCTTCCTCAAAGTGACAACATTTTAAAACCAAAATATCTCTCTAAGTTGTTTGTCTCTGCCGTCGAAACACCAGGGCAATTAATCTTTGGGATTTCATGCCATTCCCTTCAGGGGGCGCCCATCCAATCTCCTGACTCTTCATCTTCTCCTGGCAGCTCCATCTCCAACATGCTCAAACCATCTCACCTTCTCTAACTTGACCGATATTCTTGGCCCGATATTAGCATGATTATGTGATATCTTTAAGAATTGTTATAGTTTGTATTGTTTTTTTTCGATAATGAAAACCCGATAACACAATGCCTGGGTTTTGGTTTTACCAAATGTGCTGGAATCTCTTGTAGGGTCCTGAGGGGTTTACCTCAGTTTTGGGAACAAACGGCTACATGTATTTAGACAATATCGGCATATCGGATATCTTCAAAATATGAATTTCAGACATCCCTTGCAGCAACTGAAGTTATGCTCCTGTTGCTGAATTTCAACCACAAAAAAGGTCATTATATCAAAGAGGTGTAAATATTCATAAAAAGGTCATTATATCAAAATATAAAATGTAAATATTCGTCTTTTTACTGCCAAACATAGTGAGCTAGGCTGCAATGAACTAATAACTTTAAGAAACTCCAAACTCTTTCCAACAACACAGCGTCATCAGTTCCAGGCCTCTTTATGCTAAATGCTAACTGCACATACACATACATGTGTTCCAGCTGAGTAGTCTTCACCCTGGGATGTAAATAGTTAACACTGTGATACAGTTCCTACAAAAACAAAGGATGGGTTCAGTAGCACCACGTCTCCTCCCAGCTCCAGTGGGAGTGAAGTGTAAGTTGCAGTGAGGTCGGTGGTGGGCAGGTCAACGTGAAAAATCAATGAATGCCAGATGGTGGCGGACAGAAAGCTTCATCAGAAACACATGTGGTGTGAGGTGTGTCACTCCTCTGCCTCTCGCCCTCTCTTCCTCTTCTTTAAGTTCCGTACAGTCCGCGCTGCAAACTATTCCTTCAGCAGTTTCTAATTTCAGCCTCATCCGCTCGCAGGTTTAATAAATTGCACGGACATGCGTGGGCCGGGCTGGGTTAAAGGAAGAGTCAAGTCTGGCCTGCAGAGTAGAAGCCAGCTTCCTGTGTCGGGTCTTTTAGCTGACGTTGTGATATCACCAGTCAGTGTGTTGTGGAGCAGTCAGCTGAGTGATGATTCAGTCTGTGTTCACCGTAACAGTCAGTTAAACTCAACGGCTGAGTGAGTGTTGTAGGTTGTGGAAGTAAAACCTCAGCTTATCATCTGATTTCACAAAACACAGTACGTAAGAAAATACCAAAATGAGGCAAATACTGGTGCTAATTATATACCTGCAGTGTCAAGCCGTATATTCTCTAACAAAAGAGAACTCGCTTTTTGAAAGTTACTTCCTCAGTTTATCTCTTCCTACCACTCTGTGTATATATATTTATATATGCAAAATATATGAAATATATATTAACGTGTATGTTGTACAGCTATTAAATAATTAAAATTGTTAATATGATTAATCACAGGGTATCTGTGGGTTAATCGTGATTTATTGTAATTATGATCATGAATAATTGAGGTTGATGTGCTTTTTTTTTAATGACCAATTTTTGTTTTCTGTATAGGAAGAGAAACAGCAGCAGGCAGATGTCTGCGTTTTCTAAAATAAGTTTAGAAAATTTGAGCGGCAGCTTCAAGGGGGAGACATTCTATATAAATATTGAGAGGCAACAGAGTACATTTGATTGCGAAAATATCTGACAAGTTCTGTCATATATATGTATGTATATATATATGAACTAAAAACAACAATAGGTGTGTCTCACAGGTCAGAGGTCGATCCCCGTGGTCTCGAGTTATAAAAGTGAATTACACTATAAAAAAACACATTTTAAAAAATGACTTCAAAATCATAAAAAAGATCTGTAATCATCAAAGGGTCAAGAATTCAAGTCCAGTGTTTGGCAGAGCTGACAAGTAAAGACCACAATTTGACGGTTTCTTACTGTTTCTACATTGTGTGTAAGACAGGACAGAACACACCTTCACTGCACAACTATATCAGGACCAAGGCCTTTTGGGTCAAAGACCCACATCCTCTTAGCTGACCCACCACCACAGGTGTCAAACACTAAGGAATGGCTTCATAGTAAAAGCAAAGAATAAGATCAGAACATTTGTAAAAAAAAACGATTTGTTATATTTAAACCAGTGCTTTAACCCTAACCCCGATTTGTTATATTTAAACCAGTGCTTTGGTTGATTTTTGTCAGGTCTTCCCTGATCTGGATTCTGGTCTAGTATGCCGATCCCTATCCACTTCCTCTGTGTCAGATTCCAGTCTTTTCTCCGACTGCTCCGCTCTTTAATTTCTGCCGACCTTAGCCTCTCTGGCACGTCTCTCCTCCTCACTTGGCCTTCGTCTCTGTGCAGCTGTGCTGCTGCAAACCATATGGACACACACACTCGCAGCTCCAGCAAAAGTGGAAAAACAGTCAGATGACCTCCCACCCAAGCCCATCATGGAAAAAAAAGAAAGATATCCTGTGGGGAGTTTTTTTTCCCCCCAACAGAAACAAAAGCAGTGGATTTTGCAGACACCTGCATTTGTTTGTCATTTTTTAAGTGTCTCTCTGACACAAACGGAGCGAACTTCACTGATCCACCGTTCACTGACTCAGGTCTGCGCAGAAACTATGGTATGCTGTACCACTAATGGTACCTGTGCACCCTCCAGTGGCACACAGAGAAATACACAGTGAAAAAAAAAACAATACAGTGAGGCCTCGAGATACGAGAAAACTATCCAGTTTGTATCGGAGTCAATGTATTATTTTAAAATATTGACGCTTTTTTGACAATTTTTAAATGAAGAAAGTAAATGAAATCTACTGGATAATTGAAGTCAATTATTAATTCCATCACAGCGGCCCGGTACCAAATGGCCCACGTACCAGTCCGGGAAACAGGGATTGGGGGATCCCTGCTCTTTATTATAGACTTTTATTTTGAGACAACCGTAGGTATGTTGGGCCATATAAAATGACGTGGTGGCCTGATTTGGCCTACGGGCCTTGAGTTTGACATATGTGGTCTACCTAAAATTTGCATCGTTATGAAACCCGTTGATCTGTCTTCATTTACGGGGGACTGCAGCAGAGATGAGAATACAATAGAGCCGTCAAACACTCTCAAGAAGTGAGAGGCCCTGGGCAAAAACCACAGCCTCACTTCTCTATGGGTATTTGTGAAGTGAGACCACAACGCCCCAGAGTTTGGGGTTTTCCTTGTGCTGCAAATCATCAGTGCTAGTTAGTGGTGGTCACAAACAGACACCAACTTTTTTTTTACCCCCAGAGAAAGAATGACCACAACAACGTTAGTTTATAACAGGCTGCAGACATTTGGTGTTTTTTTTTGGTTCCTAGCTGCAGATACTGGAACTGATAATGAAAGTCCTGGTATTTAGAACTAAAGTGTCACTTCTGCTCAAGTTTGAGGACCTTGTTGTTTCTACGTCAACCTGCTCACCGTCTCTTTTGTTTTAAAAGCACTGCTGCGATAACACCTTAAACTCCAACTCCTGGCCCGCAGGCCACTTTCAGCCCACTAACCACCCACGTGTAGGCCACAATTAGACATGAGACAAATATCTACAGCGCTACATAAGAACCTTTCCACTACCTTAAATTATCCAAAAAAATATTATATAATATAATTAAATAATTATTATATAATTATATATTTAAAAGTACTGCATTTTAACCAAAATGTACTGAGAGAAATTTCCTCTTAAACGTCAGAGTCAGAATATTTGGCACTTACAGCCAAACTTCAGAGGTTTTCTAACATTTTACCACCGACGCCCAAAAAAAACTGATGTCACGAAGCCTGAGTGCACAGTACTGCTACCCTTCTGCATGTGTTTTGATGACAACTTCCTCTCTCACCGTGGTATTGTAGGGTGTGAAAGAGGATCCCACCCAGGGTAAAAAGCCAAAGTTCCTGGGAAAGGCTGGTTGGGTGAAGAAAGCTCCAGGCAAACTGTTGGCGACCTACAAGGAGCGCTTCGTCCACGTGGAGAAAACCGAGATTGTTGTGTATGAAAATGAGGTATGCAACATAAAGAACTATCTCAGTAGTAAAATAGTTCTGATGACTGCTGCTAACGTTCCCTTCTCTGTGTGTTTAGGACTTGCAGAAATGTTTAGAAAGACTTGACCTGGAAAACTATGACAGATGTCATGAGTTAAAGAGCACCTTCAAGAAGAAACACAGACTGATCCTGATCCGATCACCCAAGTCTGCGTACAAGGTGAGCCAAATGATAGATGATCCTGGACCGCAACAGAAGCGACTTAGTTACTATACGCTTTTTCGTGGGAAACGTTACTTATAGAAAAAGAAAAAGAAATTCAGGATTTGGGTTCTGTAAGAACGATAGGAGAACATTTCTTAGTAACTGAGGAACAGGACATTGGACCACACTTAGTCTGTGTTCGATGGTCGTCATCAGGACTGGAAAACACTCCGTTGCATTTTCATCTAACTTCTCACATGACAATGACTTTAGAATTTTTTATTTTTATTTTTTGCTGACTGTGTGTGACACAGTTAGGTCTAATGTAAATGACTAAGAACAGAACTTCCTACCTGAGTACCAAGTGTGTCACTATTCAACCTCTTTGGTAACCAACACAAACACCATTTCCAGAAATTGCAGTAAGAAACTGAAACTGGAATTTATTTCCCAAGAGGAAGTTTCAAACCAAATGACTCAATTTGAATACGTTGTTAACAAAAATATTTTCATGTAAAATTTCGTAGCATCTCAGCAACTTAACAAAAAAAACTCAATTCATGTAGGTTCACTGTAACGCATTCAAAAAAAAAAAACTTCAGCCTACAAAAAGGGCTTAGGAACTACAGGTTAGTCAGTTAGTACTAATGCCTCTATTTCTGATTCCTTCCTATTGGGGAAAATGCAGGTAATTTAGTCGGGTTTTTCTGTGTCTTTGTCGTGTAATTTCAACCAATCAAAAAGCATTTTTTAAGACTAGTCCTTAGTCAAACAGAAAGTGCTGCTTCCTGAAGGTGTAAAACTCAACACCAACCCACACAGGTACTGTGCGTAGCTGGTCTTCTGCGACCGAAAGAAGCAAAGACACCAATAACCATTTTATCTTCACCACATCAGAATTGCTTCTTCATAATACAAGGCAGAAAAACTGTACTGTAAGTCCACAATCGGTGCAACCTTTCTGAAAAGGGAAGTCAACAAAGAGGAAATGTTGATAAAAAGCAACTGCTCTGTGGGTTGGTATCACTCTTTAACACAGTTCCTGAATCTGTGGATGGTTTGGTTCCTGTCAGGCTCCCACACTGTGGCAGTAGTGAATAGGTCTGATCAGGATAGAAATAGCTTCTTGGCTGCTTCTGCGTTTCTCTAGGGTAACCCTGTTCAGCTCTGCCTTAATGGGACTGAACAGTTCCAGAGGAACAAAGAGCTTCTTCAATAAACACAGCACGAACAGTGTTTATCCACAGAAGAAGAAGAAGAAGAAGAAGAGTGTGAAGACTGTGAACATGTGTTTGAGATCTCAGACGCTGAAGTCTAAGTGGGCGAGTAGAAACAAACTTTGACTGTTTTTAAGGCTGGTCGAATTCAAAGTGTTAACCACGGTAACTCATTTGTGAAGAAATTCCAATCCAATCATTCCAAACCTGAGTATTGTTGCTTTAATACACACGTTATTTACACACACTAAAGGAAAAAGTTTTCATTTCATCAAAGCACCTTGAGCTCAAAATACCATCTCTACACACAACAAGTATTTGGGGGCGTAGGGGATGACAACGACTTCACTGACGTTTCAGAAAGAAACTTTTCACACTTTCTACGAGACACCATCAAGATGAACAGCGATGACTAATATCCAACGCTATCAAGGTCAAATTGACTATTGCCAAGATGAACAGCGATGACTAATATCCACCAACACTATCAAGGTCAAATTGACTATTGAAATTTTTTTGACATTTCTCCATATTAATAATTCCATCATTTGGTTTATTCAAAAATTAAAACAGGAGAGAAACACTGACATCTACCTGCGGTTATGTGTCTTTTTGTTGCAGCAATATAAAAAAAAAATATTTTAACCATATTTAAGAACGTTTATACATCTGTATTAGTCATGATACAGGCAAAAGTGGAAAAAGGCATTCATTTAATGCGTTTTACAGTCCTCAGTTTGACATGTTCAAGTCTGTCTTTTTCAGCGCCATGATGTCACATATATAGATGAACCTATGGCGCAGATGCTCCCCGTCACACACAGAATCACTGCTCATGGGAAGGCAAGATAAACAGATTGGTCCACGTACTCGTTTGGACTAGTTTATTTTACTGTCACGCAGCTGTGTAAAAAGGGAGGTGTTTTTTAGGGACAACTTTTTTTTAACTCTCACTGTTGTTGCCTGCTGACAACAGACCAAGGTGCTAATTTAAGCATATGTCTCATTCAGTCAGTGATGACACACATGGTTTTCCTGTGTTAGTAAACTGAAATGTTGTTGTTTCCTGTGTTGGAAACAACAACCAAGCTGCAATTGTTGCTCTCCTACACTGTGGTCTGGTCGTGGTCAACAACATCAAAAGATAAGGCTGCTAACTAAACAGAAAGTTGGGCTTTTATGATGCGTGGTTAAATGAGTTACTGACCAGACTTGGAATACTTGACATTCACTGTCACTCAAAACAGGTCAGCATCATCCCAGGGCAGACATATTTTAGCCATGTGTCAATTGCTTACTTAGTGAAACCACAGGAACCTCATATTTGTGCTGCATTGCCAAGTCCTCACACGTCAAACCACAACCTTCACGAGAATCCAGACAGAAAATTAGCCATGTAGCAATTAGCTGTTCATCCATTCTGTTGGTTCATCTGAGTGTGTGATACTTAGTATTAATGGTGTTAAACAAATTAAACTCATCTGCAAATCAGCGACCCTTCTGATTTTGTTTCAACAATCAGGTTGATCAGTAACAATTGCTACAAAAATTCTCATTATTCTGAAACTGAAATTATTCTTAAACCTCACCCATAATCTGACCCATTATCATGTGAATAGATACAGTAAACACATTTCATCTAGGGATAGCTCGATAAAACTTGGATACAAATCCGATTACGGATAATGCAACTTGGAGTTCTGTCAATGCCAATATCAATCCAATATCTTCCTTTCTCCTTCAGCATGCCGCGGGCTACTGTTGCTGAGGGAATAGTGTCACTGTTCATGACATGTCACACAAAGTTAGGTTAAGTTAAGGTTTAGGTATCGGATCAGTTGGTTATAATTGTTTTTTTCTAATGTACAATCCTGAATTTCTGACCAATATCAGACCTATACTGATCCTGAGTATCGGATCAAACCATCCCTGGGTTTTACTGCTTTATCTTTTGATAAACATCTGTATCTTTGTAATAACTTTCATATATATGACTGACAGGTCAGTGATATGAAGTTCCAGACTCAGACTGCAGAGGACAAAGAGGACTGGATTAAAGCCCTGACTGATGGCATCAATCGAGCCAAGAACAAAATCTTTGATGAGGTAACTTTTTCTGAAAGTCTTTCATTCTTGTAACTGAGAACATGTACACACACCTGTTGACTTTTATCACATGTATAACTACTCTGTGTGTGTGTGTGTGTTCTACAGGTGAAAGTGACAGAAGACAGTCCTCTGGATCATGTGACTCGAACCAGGCCCAAAGGGACTCGCAATCGACGACCACCGACCAGGATACACCTTAAAGAGGTGTGTGTGTGTGTGTGTGTAGGTTTCATGAATAAATATGCCGAGTAAAAAGTTTGAATTTATATTTTGGATATTATTTTTGGTCCTTGAAGGTTGCTGATGTGTCGTCTGACGGAATTTTACGTTTGGACCTTGATCTTGAGGGTGCCGTTCTACTAAATGGGATTCCTTGTGTTGATGGAACTGAGACGAAGAAACCAGTCTCAGTGGCTCCTTCCAGTAAAGCCACAGAAACAGAGTCAGGACTCAGTGCCGAGGAGAGCACAGTGGCAGAGCAAGACGTCACTCAGCAAAAACTCCCTCCAATATCTGAGGATGAACCTGAGAAGAACGAAGCCCCTCAGAAAAAGGTTTGTCTTTTTAACACTCGAAAGATATATGCACCGTCTTTCTAATCAAATGTCTAAAAAAATGACATCATGTTCTCAGGTCTTGAAGCCTCCGGTACCTCCATCTAAAGACCCCAAGTCCTTCCTTTTAGCTGCTGAAGATATTCCAAAGGAGACCAAAGGTGAGAAGGGGTCTGAAGAGAACTCTGACATTGGGAAAAAGACAGGTCCACCACCGACTCCTCCCAACAAACCAAACCCTCAGAGCTCTGTGTGCAACCTTACAGAACCTACAGTGTCCAGACCATCCGGCCAGCCTCCTATACCCCCAAGCAAAGAAAAGAAGATGTCTCTCAAAGCAGTACAACCACACCAAGATGTTGTGGATACGGAGGGAGAGAACAAAAAGGAGGATGACGAAAGAAGGGAAGATACAGAAACCGATGACCGTTCTGAAAAAGCCGTGGAGACTAAGGAGGAGCAGAGTACAGAGGAACATCATAGCACTTCTACACCTATTTTAATCACAGAGGAGTCAGAGGACTCCGTTCAGTCTATCATCAAGCCCCCTGTATCACAACAAGAAGGTTCTGAGAACTTGGATGCTGTTCTTCAAGCAGAAGATTCTGAACCCTCGACTAAAGATCCTTCGGGAGTTTGCTCCTCTAACAACCCACTGGATGCCGGTCTCACCACAGATCTCTTGCTGTCTCACTCACCCAAGGAAAAACAAAGGAAGGCGGAGGAGAAGTCTGTAGACAGTGGTCAGCACTCTGATGATGACAGTGAAGGTTCTGGATGTGAAGACCTACTGGCAGCTTCTTCGGTGGCACTGCAAGGAAGCCAGCCAGGTCTGGATGTGCTGGACCCCCGTGAAGATGAGGTTCAAATTCTCCCATTAAACCAGAGCAAGGTTCCACCCAAGCCTCACTCTGAGGCCAAGTGCTTTCACAATCCAAAGCCCGCAGTAGGTTTGAAACCCTACACTAAGGTGAAGTCGGCCTCCTTCAGTGACCTGCTGTCTGACACCGTCAAGGTGACACCACCTGTCAGAGCGGGGGCTCAGGGTGGCAGGAATTCTGCAGAGAACGTCATGAAACTTAAAACTGAAGTAGCTGTTGAGATACAAAAGACGAACGAGCTCTTCGACAGGGTGTCCAAGGTCCAGGGGTGCAATGAGCCTCAGGACCTTCTGTCCGAGGCCATGGAGAAGCTAAAGAAGGCCGATCACTTCCTCAGGCAGGTCCACAAAATAAAGATGGCAAACAACATGTACAACAGGAAGAGCTGGTGACTTTGTTCCGCTCTGTATTGTACGTTGTCTATACTGCCCCCAACTGGACAGTCACTGTAAAGTCAACACAGCTGTGAATTTTTCCAAGGATTTGATCCAACAGTGTAACTGTGTGCTTGAGGCCAACATTTATTAGATCTAGGTAAAACCTTTTATGTTTACATGTTCTGAATTATACGTGGTAAGTACTCCAATGTTTGGTACAAGTCAAATTATTTCTAGCACTTTCCAGTTGAATCGGTTTAAAACTTTGATTTATTGGAACTAATCCTTTGGTCGTTTCTTGGTTCACTGCACCTAACCGTACCTACCATCTTGTTACTTTTCTGTATTCAGTATGTGGAGCAGCATGAAAGCATGTTAAATGTGAATGTTAAAACCCATTGAAGTTTGATGCTTCAAAGTCTTTCCCGTCTTTACTTATCGGGATATTGTCCTGACCGTGAATTTAACAGGAACCAAAAAAGGCTACCTTTCAACATAGTCCTGCTCACGAGACCTGATGCATGTGAACCAGTACAGGAGGAAGTGGATTTCCACTCATGTGAGCAAACTGACACAGCAGAGTTCTGTTAATTATGTGAAAAAATAATTATTGACTACAACAACAGAAATCCATATGAAATCACATCTTTATGTTGGTGTGTTTTGGGAATAGGAACATCACACGAGGGCTGTTTGTGAAGAAAAACAATGCTTTACAACATACATGAAACAAGTCAGCAAGTGGAACTGTGTGATTTTATCAGATTCATTTTTCTCCATGCTTCCAGTTGTGTTTTTAATAATGCACTGTTTAAATGACTAATCATCAGGTTGATCTGACACAGCTGCATCAACACAGGAAGTGACAGGAATCACTATGGGTAAAAAAGCAGCTGTTTGGAGGTCAGACTAATAATATCCTGATATACTAAAAACACCTTAGTGCCTTAGAGCAGCGATTCTTAACTGGTGGGTTGCAACCCAAACGTTGCCCTCAGACTACTTTTCAGTGGGTCACAGGACCTAGGCCAGGCATTAAAAAAAAATTGAGAAAGAAAAATCGGCATGGTCGTCTATATACGGTTTTAAGTGCACTTTGTAATGTTAGTTCTTGGTCTTTCATTTTTGTACATCCTGTAAAAATGTCAATACAAAGTTTTAAAATTAAATTTTAAATAGGATTTCTGAAGCCCTCTGATGCCTTATTCTGAAAGAGATAGTTTATGTTATTTAAGAGGAGACAGTTTCTTTTACTGAAAGAGATAGTTTATGTTATTTAAGTACAGTATTTACGTACAATAACGCCCTCTGTGTTCCAACTAAGATTTACATCCAAGCTTAGGTGGGAAGTACTATTTAATTGGGCATTGGAAAAAAAATCGTTCCATGCTCGAAACCCAAATGTGCATGTTTTCTGTGAAACACAAGTAGCTGATCAAGAAAATGGGTCAGGGTGTAGTTAACGGCCATTTAAAAATTAATTAAAGTCTTTGTTTGATTTTTCTATTCCTATGCTGAACATATGCTGAATTTTTAATGTGCATCATTGAGACTTTTTCAGACTTGTTTTTCTCATAGCTAATACAAGTTTTTAAAACATTGCCAAAGCACTCAATGCATGTCAAACTTACAGAAACTAAAAATTGTTCACAGCAATTTAATGTAATGCAGAAAAGTAAAATAGGTCAAGTTTGAATAGTGTAGAAAAAAATCTAGATTTATTAGATCAGGTGTTGTTGATGAAGGGAAAAGCCGCTCAGGGGATTTCTGATTTTATTTTAATTTTTTTTCTCTCATATTATGATTTTGTTGTTATTTTTAATTGATTATTGTTTTTATGTTGATTGAATTGTACATACCACAAAGTAACTGCCTAACAACCTTCTAATTGGACCTTTTTGCTTTCCCTAATTTTTCTCATGTTTATTTCCTGTTTGTGTGTATTATTATGCTATTAACAATATGCAAGAAATGCAAAAAAGATACAGATTTTGTACTCTTCAATTTCTCCAAAATAAACAAAAGGGAATATTTTGTCAGCGTTGTGTGTATTTAATTTTTTACGGGTTGATGTCTTTTAAAAGCTCACTTTAATAGAACTAGAATAGTAGCAACATCAAGTTGTTCCATAAACACCTGCTAACGTAGATGTTAGCTGATAGCTTAGCTGAGAAGTATACAGTGCCTCACCACCCAGTGTTTCATAAATCCGAACATTTGTAAAACACATTTTAATAACAAACTATTTCAATGAATTAACCACAAATTGCGTAGTTTGACTTTAAATAATGTTAACATTACTTTCGGTGACACAAAATGTTTCGTCAGTGAGAACCTGGCTAAGAAAACCCTGCTAATTTCAATCAATTTTCTTAGGCTTTAATGGGAGCTTGGTCTCCATTCAGTTACACTGCTGCCATCTACTGGTACACTCAACCACTGTCTCAATCGTGCATAGAAAGAACAGGGCAAACGGGATGAAACAAGCGCCATATATTTCCTGTTTAAAACACGTCTTTTTAAATACAACTTTATTTTTAAAAATAAATAATTAAATGTGGTGCATTTAATTTAAGCATGGAGTACTCTGGAGGGTAGTGGCCTAATGTCGTCACATAGCTGTTTTTTGTACTGTAACTATGTGACGTCACGCGCATTGACTCTCAATCCGCTCTTCAGTTCCTCGAAATGAACAGAGACGGTGACAGAAGGAGGACACTGTGACCAGTGAGACACCGGAGACGTCTTTTTAGAAATCCAGCGAACATGAGGGACGAGGACGACGTCAGTGAGTATCCGCAGAATTAACTGTTACATCTCTGAGCCCGAACAGAGGCGAAAAGCCAGTCAACATTCGATGCTTATCACTTCTTCCAGTAACACGAGATGGGTGATATCGTCTTAATATCACGATACTAATATCAACGATGTAATCTCGTTATATACTATATTCAATACGGCATTACAAAAATGGGAAAAGTACGTTACAAAGGTGCAAAACTATTTTACATATTATAAATATTAAGCATTAGATATCATGGAATTGTATAACTGTGTTCAAAAGCACTTTAGCAACAAAAACAACACAGATATGGTTGTTACACTCTCACTTATGGAGCATTCGCGTTTGCTGCTCATTTTCTACTAGTTTTTGAAGTGGTCCACACTTATGGAGCATTCGCGTTTGCTGCTCGTTTTCTACTACTTGTTTTTGAAGTGGTCCATCCTAGACAATATGACTTGTAGCAATGAATGTGTGTGAATGTGTTTGTGTTTGACTTAGTCTACTTCACAGTCGAAGTCTTAATAAAAACTTGGGATGTCCGATATGAAGTTTTTGCCAAAATCCGACAATATCGTCCGAACATTTAATTTCCGAATCTGATATCAACCGATACCGATATTGACCTGGTATTGTTTATTTATTTATCCGTACAAACCACTGTATTAGTATGACATTAATTAAATGAGCTGCAATGCTGCCACCTGGTGACTTTCACTTTAATATGCAGCCGTTTTACCCCAAAACTATTTTTAGGGCACATCATTTGGCAAAACCCAGGCATTGAGCTAACTGGTTTTTATTATCGGAGAAAAAAAACAATAAAGATTCTTACAGATATTACATAATATGCTAATATCGAGCCAATATTATCAAATATCCCTAATAAAAACACATCTCCATTCATCAGTTATATTGTTATTACAGCTAGCCTGACAAGAAGCGCCATCTGTGCATGAAAGAGGAGAGGACATGGTTGTAAAAGGATAGTTCCAGATGCATTTGCTGAAATTCTCCTCCAAATTCTCACCCGCCGTGTTTGTAAAAATTCTATCCTGACAGTGTTGTGGTCGGAGAGGGAGTTCCACGATGCCGTAAAGAAGAACGACACTGAGAAAATGCAGGAACTGATCCACAAGGGAGTGGAGGTCAAGGTCAAAAACAAAGTCAGTATTCAAGTACAAACTGTGGACACAGTTCCAGGCCTGGGATTTTGTCACGTTTACTTTTTTTTAATCCTCTCTGTCATATTTGTACAGGACGAGAGGAAGGCGCTACACTGGGCCGCAGGAGCCGGGAACGAAGAAGCGTTACGCCTCCTACTGGAGCATGACACAGATGTAGACGAGCAAGACGTCGTATGTGGAAATATTTGCATGGGCGGTGTTTGTTTTTTTTTCGTACATCAGTGAACCATGTTGTGTGACTGAGTGGCTTCATTGGAACATCTTGTTTGTTCAGTTCGGCATGAACCCTCTGCTGCTGGCTGCCTGGTTTGGTCACCTGAAGATCCTGCAGATGATGGTGTCCAGAGGAGCCAAGTTCAACTGTGAGAACAAAGTAAAATCTGACTTCCCTCACTCAAAGTACACCACACCAGTCCTCTAGTCTTTAGTGCACGTGTCAAACACAGGCCCAGGGGCCAAATCTGGCCTGCAGGGTAATTATATTTGCCCCACAAAATCATAAAAAATGTTTTCTAGAGTTGGCCCAGCAACTCAATGTTTCCACATAAAAACTAGAGTTGGCCCAGCAACTCAATGTTTACGCAAAAAAGTTTCCACATAAAAAAATCTACATTACAGATCTGGAGAGAAGAGAAAACATGAACAATTTTTCAATAAATATAAAGTTTGGCCCGAGACTTCGTCCAAGTTTTTAATTCCCACTGGGAATTTGAGTTTGGCAGCCCTGACTTAGAGGGTTCTTCGTGGAGTTTCAGTTGATCCAAGTCAACTTTTGGGGAGAGGGACTGAATTGTCTTTATATTGCACAAATACATACATGTGTGTGTTTTAGGACGGTCTCAGTATGCTCCACTGTGCAGCTCAGCGAGGACATGTTAAAGTGTTGGAGTTCATCATGGAAGATCTGGAAAATATCCATCTGGACAAGGCCGACAATGTGAGTCTGTTGTTTCTACCCAACATTCTACGTTTTCAAACTCACAACTCTTTGTATGAAATTAACCCAATCACTTCCTGTCAGTCCGGAAAGACTGCTCTTCATCTGGCTGCCGAGCACGGACACCTGGAGGTGGTCGACTTTTTGATCGGAATGGGCTGTTCACATGGACTGAAGGACAAGGTACACACACACACACACACACACACACACACACAGGTGTCATTGTACTCTCCTACAGTACGGCCACGCCTTGTCCAAATAAACGGAAGCGTAAACCAGGACCTCCTGGCAACAGTGGTTCGAACTGAAACCGTCGGAGAGTCAAAGGGACCAGACATCCATTATGGTCCTCAATCACTGAAACCAGCAGCAGTAAATCAGAGAAATCCACTACCACAGCAACAGCACATGTCGCTAAAGCCTTTATACTTTATATGATATTTAGCATTAGCATCCATGTTGCTAATGTCACTCAAACCAGGGTTCATGGGAAAAATCTTTTTATTATCTCAAGAGAATTTCACCGCAGGTAAAGACGGGAGAGAATAAACAACTGCTCTGTGTTTGTTCAAGTACAAAAAATAAAAAATCCTGTTCTTCAGTTCAGTGCCATGTTTGTGGTCAGGCCACGTACAGGAAGTTGTGCCAGGGCCACTTTGTCATTGTTGTGTCTGGACCACAGGAAGAGAACACGGCCCTGCATTTAGCAGTGAAGCACGGACACCCGTACGTCCTGCAGAGGATCCTGGAGACTGGAGTAGATGTTGATGACAAAAATATAGTAAGTGCATCGTCTGACTTCCTCCTCCATGTTGTCGTTTCAGTCCTCACAACTCCATCGTCCTTCTCACGTTTTTTTTTTTTTACAACAGTTGTATTAGTTATAAACCATGCAGTAAGAGTTTGATTTTGTTCTTATGTTTGGATTGGGGAGAGTTTGCAATGGAAATTTGCTAAATTACGGCGCAGACTACGGCAATAGTGACCCCTGTAGGTTATGAAAGTGATAGCAGAAAAAAGTAAATCTATAAATTTATGTCAATGGCAAAATTTGAAAAAAATAGACAAGATCAATTCAAGGGAATAGCGGCCTCTACTGGTGGAAAAGGGTAAATGGTTGTTGGCACTGATCTGTGTGTCTGGTCATCAATGATTTCCCCTTGTGTCCTTCTGGTCATCAATGATTTCACCTCATGTTTTAACAAATCACACCTCAGCACTGACTGCCATGTGTTACAGGACGGGCTCACAGCGCTCCACCTGGCGGCTCAGGGAGGTCACTACGAGTGTATAAAGCTGCTGCTGGAGTCCAACTGCAACGTCAACGCGTTGACCAATGTACGTCCGGTTCAATCAGTGACAAACACGGTACATTAACTTTTTTTATTATTATTACTATTTGAACATCAGTGGCTCCGTTTCTGCAGAAAAACTCGACAGCTCTCCACTACGTGGCTCAGCGTGGCTTCGACAGGGAGGTCGACCTCCTTCTGGAAGCTGGAGTCAATGTCAATGTTGTTGACCATGTGAGTAAACGCGACTCATGGTTGACTATATGTAGCTCTGGTAGAGTAGGGGACAGGTGATCAGTAGGTCCGTAAAACAAAGGTAGGTTTGTGGGAAGATACAGAGCTAGAAAATAGGCACATCAGGGGTGTCAAACATACGGCCTGTGGGCCAAAACTGGCACGCTACAGGGGTTCAATCTGGCCTGCTTGAGGATTTTTTAAATGTCTTTTATATATTACGTATACATATTTCATTAAATCATTAAATGTGAATACTTTCAAATATACTTGTCACTACTTATTTTCCAGAAAACATGGACAACATGCAGGCGGGATAAACTGAACTTGAAAATGACTTTTCTTTCTAACAGCAGCAGAGCACTGCTCTACACCTGGCTGTGTTTAACAACCACACTGATGTGGTCCGGCTGCTCATCGACGCCGGCTGTGACCTGGACATCACTGACTGTGTGAGTACCAGCCTTGTTAGCCTAACACTGGTGACACATGTTATTGTTTAAAACTAACCCACGGTACAGTATGAGTCACACATTATCTTTTTAACTTGATTTTTCTCGTTGCAACGTCTCCTCCCTAGTTCTACATATGCCCTGTGTTTATGCTGACCTACACAGAAGTTCCACACAGAACCGTTATTAGAACACGTGTCTTTACGTTCACTCCACAGAGGCAGCAGACGGCGTTGCATATTGTGGCAGAGCGCGGTTGGCAGGACTTGGCTGAGATGATGCTAATCTCAGGTGTGAACCTCAATCTGACTGACAAGGTACCAAACACCACATCGGTGTTCTCACTCAGACCAATCAACTTGACAGTGTGGTTCATGTGGCAAAGGCGTCTTAGAAATAGCCTTAAAAAAAGATAGTGTTTACTTATTTTATATTTAAATACTTAGATTTTCCCCAATGGAACAACATCATTACCCAGAGCAGCAGAAGACTAACTGTGTTTCTGTTGCCTAAAAATCACTGAACTGTCTTTTCTTTCTAAATTTGCATCATAACATGTCGACAACCTTCAACCGTCACATGACCTGAAACTCAGTTATGTTTAAACAGCAGGGAAAAACCAGCCTGGAGGTGGCGGCCCGAGGAAACCAGGTGGTCCTGGTGGACATGATCATCAAAGCTGACCGCTTCTACAAATGGGAGAAGGTGAGTTTTCACCATCACCTCACTAAAACATCATTATAAAACAAATAATACTAATCAAACTGTTACTGGGATTTTAAATGTATGATGGTCGGCTGTCATGTACATAATCTGTACTGCCCCCTGTGGTCAGAAAACAAGTTGACTTTGTTCTTTTATTTTGGTCCAGGATCACATGGACAGCGGTCCAGACTCCTGGTCAGGGAGACCCCTGAGCTTTAAGCAGGACCACCAGCCTGAGACCCAGCACCTCCGCTCTGTGCTCTGGACCTTAGCTACCAAACACCTGTGCCGTGGAGAGTGGAGGTTCCTGGCTCAGCACTGGGGCTTCAGTGACGCACACATACGGGCAATAGAGCAACAGTGGACGGGTACGATTACAGTGTCAAGTCAGAGCGCCCCCCCAGGGGCCGAGACCCTGCCTTTGATGGAGGCTCCTGTTTATTTTATCCTTCACAAATTAATTAACGAATTAATTTCTACTGCCCTAATTTAATCAGTGAATCACTGAAAACATTATTTCTCCTTCTGTCTGGTAAATTAAAGTTCAGGGCTTCTCAATTATTTTCTCTCATTTCTGTCTGTCTGTATGATTTATTTTTATTGCTCTTTTTTGCATGATTGCAGGTATGAAGAGCTTTAAGGAGCACGGCCATCGTATGCTGCTGATTTGGCTCCACGGTGAAACGGTGTCAGGGCAGAACCCGGTCAAAGGCCTGTATGAAGGACTGGTAGAGATCTCCCGCACAGACCTGGCAGGTAAACGTGACTCATCGGATTAGCCTCGATGCTAACTGTAAGTCCTTAACGTATGTGACAAATATATTTCTTTTTGTTATTTCTGTCTGTATTCGACCAGAATGCATCCGACAGAAGGCGAACGCAGAGACAAGTTCTCCGAAGAACTGCTCTCTGATGTGACCGACGCCGTGGGTCACTGTGAGAACACACCAGATCGATATCTGACTTTGCACAACGAATGACCAAAGGAGGGATAGAGGATGCAGTACTTGATATCCAATGCATCCTAAAGCCTATACAGCAGGGGTTATAAGGTCAAATGAGGTCAGGGCCACCGCTTCTATCTCATTGGACGATCACATAAGTATTTAAGTAAAACAAAAAATAGAGCCAAAATTGTTTGTTTTTTTCATTCCTTAATGACTAACTATAGGATTTTATTGAAATACAAATACCAATAGATTCCAAATACATTTGGAATAGAATAATTATTCCCACCCAAACATTATTTACAAGGAGAGGGAAGAAGAATCTGTCACTTCAAACTAAAGTAAAAATGTTTGTAATCTACTCATGGGCCAAAAGTGGCCCCTGGGCCGGAGGTTTAACATCCCTGCTATATAGACACAAGTCATTATTAAATGAACAGTGTGACCTGAGAAATGAGCAGCTGCTCCCTCCTCTTCCTCATTCTGACAATCAATATTATTGCGTAATTATGTGGAAATATTAGCTTTGGCCGTCTCTCCTGGTGCAGTCTGGGATCTTGGCCTTTGTTTGGTAATTCTGGCTGCGTTTATTGACAGGGAGAATTTGGGGACAGGCTGTTGACGTTCACAGTCACTGCATTGATTAGAAGTGAGACGACGGTAAATGCTCTGTGGTCCTGGAGACTACTGTAGTACAAGACAACTGCACTACCTACTGAGCTGAGCTGCATAAATGAAAATATTTTAAGCAGTATTTGAAAGGAGTATTTGAAATGGCGGTCACTGTACATTTTTACAGGGTTTTTACTTTGGTTTTACAGGGACTACAGGTTACAGGTTAACAGTGGCATCAGTGCCTCCTTACCAACAGGCTCATGTTGCAGAGCACTTATAAATATATTTTAAGTGTGTTGAGAGACTTAATCGTTCTGTTTTGGCGATGCTTTGCTAACAGACGTAGAATAGCTTCATACTATTCTGTTCTCATTTGCTCTTATTCAGCACAAGAACACACTGACCGATAGTCCAATGTGTGAGGAATAAAAAGTATTTACCAGCAATACTTTAGAATTTACTATTTTGAACAACTTTTGTTTTTTTAAGTGTGAGAGTGCACAAAAATATTGATTATAGAATTTGATTTTTTTAAATTAAAAATACTATGAGGTGTAAAAATTCCAAAGGCTTTGCTCAATATTCTGAAAGTCACTAGTGCAGGTTAAATATATTGTGTTTATATTCCAGTGATTCCAGGTCAGATACTGATGTACATGAATAAAGATCATCGAGGAAACTTCAACAATGACACAACTTGTATAAACTCAATTCCATGTCTTTTGCAGAGAAGCATATTTTACAACAATCATGATTCCCTTAGCCAACCATCACTACTTCACCGACTTTGTTGTCAAGCAGCTGACGTTTTAATCTATTTGTATAAATGGTGTTTGCATGACGGTCATTGTTTACAACTACATATTACTTATTCTGCTTTTGCTTAACTGTTTTTACCATTTTTGTAGAATTTTGTATGTACATTTTACTGTAACAGTATATTTGACATAACATCTATAAAACTCAACAATTCAAGAAAAGTTTTGTTTGTTTTGAATTTATATATATATTTTAAAAATACTTAATTGAAAAAAATAAACTCCATAAATGGAATGTGGGCAGATCTGATTAAATAAAATAATTATTTATTTTAATTAATTATTTTAATTATAACCTAGAGATTTTGGTTTTTCATGTTGTTCATCTTTTCATCAACTTAATAAAATAAGTATTACGTCATAAGACAGTGTGCCACCGACACCTTTAACACGTTGACATGTGTGGTCTCGGTCCGACGATAAAAATACATGTAATTTAATGCTGAAATAAAAACAGACACCCCCAGAGACCACATGGTGGCGGTAACATACCTTGAACGTCTTTCGTCGTCTGCCATTGAGGTCAAAGAGGAAGAAACGGAGCGTACGTGCTTGACGTGTGAAACGAAATTCGCGTTGCATTCTGGATGTTGTTGTTCTCTTGCAGATGCTATTTCTTCCTTCTCTGGATGTTGTTGTTCTCTTGCAGATGTCGTTATTTCTTCCTTTTCTGTTGGTCGTTTCTCATTCGGAACCAGAATTAAATCCATGGCTTCTGACACAGGTTTGTGTTTTGTAGTTATTGTCCTTCCAAGTAACCGGGTCTAGGCAAAGGTCTGCGTTTTAAATATTAAATCCCAGTGAGTTGTCATCGAAGCTAGTTAGCATTTATCCTCACTAGCTCCATGTCAGTGTGATTGTTTTGACTCGTCGATGTCAATTAAATACTGCGTTTAACGTGGTTCTGGTTCTGGTTCAGGTAACAAGAGGATGCCGTGTCCCCTGAACGGCTGTAGGCGGGTGTACTCCAACACCAGCGCCCTGGAGCTCCACGTTAAAGAACACGAGATTCCTGCTCAGTCTATAGCCGGTGAGCTGCACCTCTTAGCCCGGTGCTGACACATGTAGGGTTTGGTTTGAGCTGCACCTCTTAGCCCGGTGCTGATACATGTAGGGTTTGGTATAAAGTTTCTGGACTTATATGGTCCTCAAAATAATGTAGTCTAATGTGAGATCACTGTGTGACTTGTCCTCAGGAAAGGTGTTGCTGTGCTCCACCACAGGCTGCAATGGATCCTTCCCCAACATGCAGAAGCTGATGGAACATACGCGGCATCATCACAAACCCAACATTTTCTTCATGTAAGTCATTCTTGATCTCACTCAGGAGTAAAAGAAAACCTCAGTTAACTTTTTTCTTTCGTTTTCTGTCAAATAAAGGTGCGAGAGTTGTCGAACAAAGCTGCGTTCCTATCGAGGTCTCCTGACGCACCTGCACACCTGCTCTAAAGTACCACGTGCTAAAGCAAAGCCAGTGGAGCCCACTGCTCTGTCACAGCCTGTTATTACTACTACTACTGCTGCTGTTGTGAGCAACACAAACACCACTGCCACATCTGTAGACCAGAGAAACCAAAGGCAGGATCCATCGTCCACTCCTCAACAACCAGTCTCGCAATTGGCCAACCAACAGGGCAACTTCCCCACTGCCCCTCGACCGGGGTCCACTTACAGTCCTCTCATCCGTCCCTCTGTGCTGTCTTTCCCAGAGAGACTTGCTTCTCCACAGCTCACAGGTCTGCCTGTCCAGCCGTCCCCTCTTAACTCAGATGGCCAGTCTGCAGCTCCAGAATCTTCCGAAGTGAGAGGTCAGAACCAGACACTGGGCAGGTCACCAGAGTCCATTCACCCTGCTCCAGTATCGGCTCCACAGTCTCCTCCTGGGCCTGTTGCAATCTGGAAAAAGAATCAAGGTGGGTGTCCTTCATTTATATTTATCCAAACCAAGTGTTGCCTAGCAACAACTGGACCTAAGGTTTGGTTGATCTTTTTTTCCCCAGCCTCAGTTGTCTGATTATAAAGTTATGACGATAGTTAAATTCATATTTTTCTTCCGTCCTGACATGTTTCCCCTGCTGTGCTGTAGGAATGGCGTGCTACAGTCGTATCCTGTGGGAGCACACCAAAGGTCTGTACACCTGTGTGCAGTGTGGCCAGACGGCAAGCAACCGAAAAGAAATGACTCAACACATCAACGCCTACCACAGTGGAAACAAAGCGGCAGAAGATTCTAGAAAAACTGCCAGTGACACTTAGTTGGTGACAAGCGTGAAAAGAAAATACAGCACCGTCCAACAGTAACGTATCATGGTGTTTATGTGAGGAAATGTTAAGGTAACATTAAAAATTCATTGAAACTCAGCTCAGTCTTTTCTGTTTGTCAATGTTCCATGTAATAGTACATGGTTGTGGTGTACATGGTTCAGATTGCAGAATTATTCAGAACTTATGTGTAGTAATAGGGGTTTCCTAATCAGAGTATTAATAGGTAATTAAAGTCATTAAGTTTGTTGATAATAGTTAAAACTGTGAAGTCCACTGAGACAAATGTCTTGTGAATTTTTGCTAAAGAAACAAATTTGACTTGACATTCACTCCATCTTTCCTACAAATCTGCTTTTAAAATGAACACAGCAAAAATAAAATTACAAATCCACCAGGGGGCCCTCTTATACGACAAGTAGAGAGACAACATTAAATGGAGTCACGAGTTCAAAAAAGAAGATTTTATTGGGGTCAGTCAGAATGAGCTGATTTCGACCTCAAGCATGGAGAGAGTCAGATTTGGTCAGCCGAGGCTCCGCCCTCAACGTACACACATCGCCACCTACTCGTTAGCGTTACAATAAATCAACACGTTACCACCGTTGGTCATTATTTTTCTTAATTAGTAGACATTACCACATGCAGACATAAGAGCTTTTTCACACAAACAGTTCCCATCACATTAATAAAGACTTCATAATTCCTTATAATTCTGTGGTAATATACGTACATTACCACAAGAGGGCTCTGTCAAAAGATGATACCAACAATTAGCTGCAGAATTCTGCGTTTCTGGATTTCCATCATTAAAATCTTAGTATATTTTGACTTAAACAAGTCGTAGAGTACAAAGAAAATTGGAGACATAATCGTTTTCTTTTTTTTTTTCTTTTTTTTTTCAAATGATGGCTGGTTGGTCTGGGGAGAAGAACTCAACAAGTGCATACCAAAAGGTTTACGTGCGTACTGTCCCACTCTGAGTTCAGGCAAAGCAGATTTTACTGTCACAGCTCAGTTCTCTCGCCGCTCACTTCAAAAAAATCTCTTCTGCTCAATGGCGTACATCTTTCCTGCTGGAAGCTTCCGGAAGAATAAACTGTTGCCTCTGCTCATGTTACCCTGGATTAAAGAGAGTAAAACAGTGGTCAGTGTTGTCATGGGCGACACATGGACATGTGTGGTACAGCGGGTTGGAAAAAGTCACTGTGGGTTAGTTAGGGTAACATTAAATATTGTCCACACATTTTACTGCGTTTACTCGGCTAACATATAGCAGCCTCTCTTTTCTGTTTCAGCTAACTCTTATGAACGTTAACTTTTGGTTTATCTAGACAGAGTTTTTGGTTGTTTATTGCATGTTTTTTCAAAGATTCGTATCTAAATTTTCGGTATCTTTTTTGACTAATCTGGCTAATCAATATATGATGGACCTACATAGACAAAATATAGTTATATATTAGACGCCATCTGAGAAAATGAGCTTAATATACATAATTTCATACATACATGCACATACTGTACATACATGTATACACAAATATATATACACATGTATTTTGTGTATAAATGTATGTACGTGTGTTTATAAAATTATGTGTATTATGTGTATAAAAAAAGTGTATAAAAGACGTATGTATATACTGTATATAAATATATACATATGGGTGTATATATATGAAAACCAATGACTGTTGCTGAAGTCTTTTTCATTTAGTGTCTCTGTGGTGGTCTTACCTCTTTGCTTAGATGCCTCCAGCAGTCCACCCAGGTGGGGTATACTGATGCATAGGGGGGCAGACCTCCAGCCAGGCTGAAGGGCAGTAGAAATAGGACATTGTTTAGTGTCGCACGTGATGAGGATTTGTGTGTAATATGTGAATAATACCCGACTTACCCGCAGTTATTGACAGCCATGAGGTTTGACACCAGGACAAAGGGGTACGTGAGCATACTGGCAAAGAACTGGAGGAGGGGTGGGAGGGGGCAGGAGGAGAATCAACAGTTTTTCGAAGAAGGTTGTTACTATGTCTGTGTGTGTGTGTGTGTGTGTGGGTGTGTCTTACCCCTGTCACGGCCTGAGAGCAGTTCTTCATTTCACCTGTGTGACTCATCTGTGAAGATGGAGAATCAGTGTTAGTCCTGCAGCCAATGGCTGCTGGGATTTCAGCTCCCCTCCGTTTTAAAGAATGATCCGATGGATGCGGGTGTTTATAAAACTAACTAAAACTATAAACTAAAACAGTTTTTAATGACGCTTGCAGTACAGGTCTGTATTTGAAGTGTCCTACCGAGTCGTCGATGGCGTACGTATTGATGAGGTGGGCCAGCAGGTTACAGATCCACAGTGACAGCACATCACCGAGGAGGCGAGGAATCAAACCACTGAGGGGGGAACAAAACAAATGGGATCAAGATGACACACGTATTGAACAATCAGTATCTGAATCTATGACTGTGTGTCATCTGGGTTTTTTTTTGTATAAATCATTTTTAACAGACTCAAGGAAAGAACAGGAAATGTCAAACCTACGCAAAGAATCCTAAAATGCCTTCTTCTCTGTACACTGTGCAGATGGAGTCAAACACACCACTGAAACAAACAAGACAAAAAACAAAAACAAATATTTTGTCAAATGTTTCCACCACTACAGTTAAGTCACACATTGACTTGAGAATGAGAGAATGAGAATTTCAAATGTCACCTGTATTTTGCTTCCCTTCCTATAAACTGGACCATACACCGCAGGGTGATCACTGTGAACCAAAACCACCAGGATATATCAGACAGTACTTTTTGTATGTAATCACATGATGTGACTCGACTTCTTCGGCTACACTGAAGTCAAATGGATTTTTAGCGGTTACAGACGTGACATACCGTGAAAGGGATGTGTGACGATCGTGGCACAGGATCGAGCAATCATTTCTTTAGTTGTCTGTGGAGACACACACACACACACACACAAATGTTACAGCTCGTCCTAACAATAACATGAGCTCATTTGTTACATTTATGATATGGAAATGATTCCATTTATTTGGATTATTATCTGCGGGAAAAAAAAACATCCTTACACAACAATTAAATCTTGATGTTTTACCTCATTAACAACGTGCTGTAGGGAGCCTTCCACGTCTTTTGATTGGCTGCTCAGTACCTGCAAACACCAACACCAACATTATCCCAGGTATCTTTTTGCCTACTTTTTGATTATTGACTCAAATGATCTACTCTTATTTTTGTCCAATCTTTTTGCCTACTTTTTGATTATTGACTTGATCTACTCTTACTTTTGTCTGATTCCCTTAACTGCTATGAAAACTACATCTACAGAAAAATAATGCGTTTTTGTTCTTCTATGCAACAGTGACGATTAAAAACAAGTTTTGGAAACACAGCTTTAAAGAGACCAGATCACACCACAGTGGTGCTGCTGTAATGGCTGCAGCTGACAGCTAACTGAGTAAATAAGTTAAGGTTAGTAATAACTCTTACCTGAGGTACTTTTTGTTCCTGACATTTCTGTAAGAGAACAACAGTTGACAGTCAGAAAAATTGCCTTATGCCTTACGGTAGGTGCACATGTTCAGCGCAAGACGTATGTGTTACAATACAAAATGGACTGACATTATTTTCAGTTTTCATGCAAGAAATTAAAGATGACATACCAAGCTGATGATTTTACCGCATTTATTTAACGTAACGCAAAGAGTGTATGCTGCAAATGTACAATGATGTCTTTTTTCAAGATTATTCTAACACTATGATTTCTGTAATGTTTTACTTGAATATCAGCGAAATTATTTGTTACTTATTGTGTTAAGAAATGCCAGCTAAGATTCGTCTGAGCGCCAGATCATCAAAAGAGCCACTTCTGGCTCTCGAGCCATAAGTTTCCTACCCCTGGTCTGTACATTTGATATAACTGCATATTCATTGACGTATAAACATATATAAGAAAGCGCTGATAAACAACATTAAAAAAGGAATTTATTAAAGTACCCAGGAAATCATTCATCTTCAAATGTCTGTAATGTCAACAACTTCCCTTTAAAAACTGTTACAGCGTCAGCTGCACAAGTAGAAGTATTGGTACTCAGTACTGCCAAGTAGACAAATGAAAATAGTATCAGTTTGTTAATACAACGTATTGTGACAACCCTGTCACCTTAATCAAAACATGTGTTAGGACATCAGTGTCAGACCTACCTGCAAAACTTGGCTGTGCACCAGTGTGCCAATAGTGCCGGCACAGAGCCGGGGACCAAGTCCTTTGAACAGACCTACTTTCCCGTCAATTTTGACGATGTGTTTGGCTAAAAAGAGGACAAAAACAACAAGAAAATGTTTTCACATGAAATTAAGTAACTCAGTAACATTGATGTATCCAAGATGCTGATGATTTAAAGAATATTATGTAATGACAGGATTATTACTTTTCCCTTTTTATTTTTTCAACACTAATTAAATCACCGCACATTTTTTTCAAAATCACGTGAAGTCAGTCTCACCATAAGCAAACAATCCTGGCAACTGGTACACCTGTCTGCCAAACAGATTCCTGCCCAGGGTTGGAGCGAGTGGCTCGTGTCCTACCTGAGACACAAAGGCCACAAACCTGGGTGAGTGGAAAAGTTCTAAGAGAGATGTTATGGTTGCATAGGATGTTTTTATATATGGTATATTTATACTAAATCATGATTTGACAGTTGTCTCCAAGAGGAAACCTGTTAAAATTATCTCCTGGGCGTACCACACTTCCTGTACTGGTCTGTTTCTTTAAAAAGAATTGTTCAGTGTTCAAATTTATTATTGATAACCGCTGTCATTGGAGGTGTACATACTATTGTAACAGATCACTGTCCTATTTATACAACAAAGCCTTCCTGGAATGCAGACTCAAGGAGAGAGGAAAATA